TGTGTGAACAATCATCGTCTTCCCACTGCACACAAAATAAGTGCAAACTCAACTATGAACTGTTTAAACTAAACAGTGTTTTATTTGATCAGGTTGTGCCCACTGAGCTATGCGGCTCTTTTTCAGAAGCGACCTGGCCACAAATGATAGCTCAACGAAGTGGCTCATCACGTGGATATTTATAGCAGCCAAATACACTAAACGCGTGTTTCTGAATGTGGAGGGGAAAACCAGAGGACCTGGAGAAAAATCCATGTGACCACGGGGAGAACACACAAACTCCAAATATACAGCAGGCGTATGGGTTGGGATCGAACCCACGACCTCCTGCATACCAAGCGAGGTAGTTAACATCTCGCCACCGCGGCGCCCCAAACATTGGAATGGCGTGGCCAGCACCACACATGGATCCCCCCTCCCCAGTGCTACCCACCGCTGGAGCTGCGTTTCCGACGGTGGTCAGGTTCGGCGAGGGGGTCCCGCACGGCTCCGATGTCGGAGTGCCGAGTCAGCGCCACGGCTAACACCCTGGGTTCCAATCCAGGCAGTTGCCCGGCCATTATCGAACCCAGGTGATCAAGTGCAGTGAGTGGATGGTCTCAGCCCGGTCACCAATGACTGCACAAACAAAACCAAAAATACTTGTCAAATTTTTGGTTCTCACTCAATTTAAGCATAGGTTTCTGAACAGCTCCGGAAATGTTGGTTTCTTTTGCATGCCACGAAAAAACACCCCACGACAGGGGGGCCATATGGAGGTATGGCCTCAGAGTAAGAGAACAAACCCATGGAAGCTGTTCTTCTGCGACGACGTCTGTCCTGGGCCACCCTCTCCGCGAGAATTGCGGCACTCGAGTTTTTCCCGTCGCGTGACCACCTGGCTTGGACGGAGGGGAACATCGCCTGGCGTGGCGTGACATTATGCAATCACGCAGCGGGGGGGGGGGGGTGCAGGGTGAGACGTAAACGGGACACAAAGCACGGTGCGCGTCGGCCTTTCCATCGACAACTTGAGGGACAAAATGTCCCCCGCGCAGACACCAGCGCGCGGTGCCACGACCACACCTTTGTGTCCGTGCACCCCCCCCCCGCCGCCCCCCCCCCTCCCGGCATTGGCGAAGGTCGTCCGTGTGACTTTGTGACACGGTTTTCTCGCCTCTCCACCCACTGCGGCGTGGTGACAACAGAGCAACGATGCGGAATTGGATTGTCATACTCTTGGTTCTTTCGGTAAAGTCACGTAGGTAAAGAAAATAATAAATTATATTGATCAAAGATAAAAAAAAATCACGACGTTTCGATTGCAACACAAGCAATCATCATCAGGTGTGAACACCACAGCAAGACAATGTATACTAAAGTGGGAGATATGCCAGGAGGCTATATAAGTCAAAGAGGGGGGGGGGTGGTGGTGGGAAACGGAGGGGGTGGGGGGGATAAGGAGCGAGGGAGAGCGCCTCGTGACTTTACCGAAAGAACCAAGAGTATGGATCCTTGCAATCACGAAAACTTCAAATCTAGAATGGATTGTCATAACCTAGTATGTACGTATGTACTTATGTATGTCAAGATTCTTCCGCACCGTACGTAGCCAACCGTGCTAATCGGAAGTGCGGGGGAAGGACAACAAACTAAACACAAAAAACAGTTCTAAAGAAATGAGTTTTAAATTTCGATTTGAAAGTACACAGCTTGTTAGGGTTTGGTGGGTTTCTTGTTTTATTTGGAGTGCCGGGCTGATGGATGGACGTTGTGACGTTTGCAGCAGATAAGGTTTAAAAAAAAAAAACATCTTCAAAGGTCAAACGTTTGAAAAATGTCCCTCCAATTACTTAATTTGTAGAAACCACGTAGCAGCATCGCCACCTACTGGCAGACCAAGGCCCGTTCGCAAGCCGGTTCTGCATGCGCCTTGTGCCATGTAGGGACAGCTGCCACTGGGTGGGGTGGGATCCCCTTGGCTCGGCTGCAGCAGGACGTAGAAAGAGTTGAGATGCAACGTGATGCCATGTGATGCAATGTGATGCCAGGCGCTTTGAGTTGTTGAGGTGTGGACGCAAGTGCCCCCCATACTTGCGAATCCTGAGAAGTGTCTCTTTCCTCGATTTGGAATCGGGGGGGGCAGTCGTCTCCAACAATGGCACTGCATCGGTGGTGGAGATTCCACATTACCACGGTGGGTGAGAGGATCTGGGTGGGACGGCCGCTGTTGGTGGCGCTGTGGTCAGAGTGCTCGGCTAGCAATCAGAAGGTCACAAGGTCACAAGGCCTTTGACGGGTTGTTAACTCGGCCCATATTTCCTCCGCGGTCAATAAAGTGGCGAACAATTTGTCAGCAGCTGTCGTGGAAATGTTTCGTCATCAGCAGGATGAACCTGCTGCTGGATGAAGGCCTCCCCGAGCCTGAGCCATCCTTCACGTATAACAATTCATCTCGCGATGGATGAAGGGGGTCCAATTTCATCGTTGCTTATCCAAATTGGACCTACTTGACATCTGTGAAAAAGTAGCAAACGCAGCCGAACGGATTCCTCCAGTCTATATAAAGATGATGATTTTGTACTTGTGGGTGTTTGCCTCCTTGAATCGATGCTGCCCCCCCCCCCCCCGTGTGCTACGACGGATGGACCAGAAGCCACTGGCACAGGCAAAAGAGAATGGAACAAAAGAGTGCATTAGGAAGCATGGAATGAGGCGTGGTCTAATGCCTCTGGGTGTGTATGAGGCTTATTATTAAAATCTATTTCAGTACTATAATCAATTGCCTGTCCCACACACCCTTGTATAAATTGTTGTCGTGCCACATATTTTCTTCCAAATGTTGATCTCCGCACTCCACCTGGCTTTGGCTAAACCGGGGATTCAAGTGTAGCGAGTTTGACGGCTTCTGCCCAGTCAGCAGTTTTTTTTTAATGCGAAGGCGGCACAGTTGCGCAGACCACGGCTTTGGGAAGCGCTCTTCTGCATTGGCTGCCCCTTGAGCCAGGAAGTTACACATTTGCATTGGCTTACGTGGTTTATTCGAAGTTTGGTTTGTTAGGCCAAGGAAGGGGTTGTTTGTTACTATATTTCTACCAATGAGTCACCGTTCATGTGCCAATTTAAGACGGTGCATCTGCACATATTTTTTGTAAAATGTCATTTCTATCGGGGGCCTTGCGGTGTATATAGAGTATGTTGCAGTCTCCAGATGTTAGTATTTTGTTTTATTTGACCAGGTAAGGCCCACTGAACTACACAGCTATTTTTCAGAAGCGACCTGGTCATAAAGAAAAGTTCAACGAAGTGGCTTATCAGCATGTGGAAATTTATTGCAGCCAAACACTCTAAACGAATGTTGATTCTAAATGTGGAGGGAAAAACTGGAGGACCCGGATAAAACTCCACCCGGAATCGAACCCACGACCTCCTGTATATCAGGCGAGGTAGTGAACAGTTGGTTACCGTGGCACCCACCAGAGATGCCTCTGTCTCTCTGCATTGCCCAAAGCGTCACCTATTAGATACGTTTCCTGTTAGTGCCCCACCATGGTATTGATGAACGTGTTGAGTTATTGTTTCCATGTGTATGTACGTTGAACTTCTTTTTCACCGTACGTAGCCAACAACGCTAATTGTAGGTGGACCACGGCCAACGCAGCAGTTGCAGCAGCATAACAACAACGTGTTCATATCGTATATATCATATCAAACCTGTTAACCCACACGGTTTACCCGTATTCTTGTGCAGGGTCCATACGGCGTACAGCCGTTTTAATGCGGGCAAAACAATGTTTGTGTCTATTTGTTTGTGTTTCTCCCTTGTGATGGGACTTTGTAGCATGAACGTTGAGATGTATAAGGGGCACGGGGTAACCAATCAGGTCTGAATTGGTCTGTAATAAGGTAGGCGCTGATAAGGGGTTGAGGTACGTCATGTCATACATTTATACAGCGCCTCAACCAAGGCGCTGTACAGTGAACTAACTAAGGTACAAGATGGTTGGCGAGATGAAACGAGATGAGTGGATGGGATACGTGTAAAATGAGGTGGTGGTGGTGGTGACGATGCGTGGAATAAACAGAGATGGAAATGAGATGAGTGGATTGATGATGGGTGACCAGGGGGAGCTGGGCACAGGGAAGGCGGCGTTGGTACGAGTGGGGAGGACAACGAGGGGAGAAGGAAGAGTGGACAAGAGAGAACGAGTGGGTTTTAAGAGCTGAGCGGAAGGTCGTGAGCGAGTTTGATGTTTTGACGTGCAAGGGCAGTTGATTCCAGTGCAGAGGGGCTCGGAGATTGTTTGGTTTGTTTGGTTTACTCGCAGTAAACCCATTGCACACCAGGAGATCTTTGCCTTGAAGCTCTGCACAGGTAATGCCAGATTGCAAAGAGCATATTTATCAAAACTGAAGCAACTTCTAAATTTAGGTCGCGTTTTGCACCGGTTGTCAAAAAAGAGGTATTCGTGTCTGCCTTTGCTTAGAGGTTATAAATACTTCCTGATATGAAGACGCGCAATTGCACCCAGCAGCATACACGGATGTACGCCACCGTGTTCAAATCGGCAGGTTGTGCGTGGTGGAGTAAAGTGTGGGTACTCCCACCACCTTCCCAAGACTTCTGGCCGGCATGGAAGACTAGGCCAAAAACACCCCCTCGAGGGGCTCTCGAGGGCTGCCTCTAGTCTGGGCCTTTCCGGCAGCATTGGAAAGCAATGCCAGCTGAGGATAGCGCACTGCTCTCTAAACCTGCACGCCCGAGTTCGATTCCCGGCCACGGCTAACATTCCCGCGCCTCCGATTAGCACGGTTGGCTACGTACGGTGCGAACGAAGTTCAACGCACGTACACACACAGGCATCGGGGCTTGAACAAAGGGAGGCGCTCGCTAACAGTGCTTGCCCCCAACAGTTTGTTATCGGCTTCAGGAGGTTGCGTGCGGGGGAGAGGGGGGGGGTACTCTGTCTCTTGTCGTTGATGCTAACCGTGGGTTGTGGGGTTCCCGTCTGCTCACGCAGGAGGCTGCCCCCCCTGGAAGGTGGCGCTGCTGTCGGAGGTGCTCGCCGTTTGGCCCGTGGAGCAAGCGCCGGCGCAGTGGCAGAGGTCGCGACCCCGCCCCGACCTGCACGCGTTCACGGGTACGCGTGTGGACAGCCGTAATGCTGTCCGCCCTGATAGTCCGTTTAAAGTTTCCGGTTGTCCGTGTTACCTCTTCATCTGTAAGTTAACCTGCGGCGAGGCAGCTGGTGCAAGTTTATTTGCGCGACTTTGTGAAATGTCTTAGATGTGCCGCGTTGATACGCCTGACTTTGCACCGATTTCTGATTGCTGCATTGCCGTGCTTCACCGCTAAAACTACAATCGCAAAAGCACTAAAACTTTCCAACACAACTTCCGAACACAAATTCCTAACACAACCCACCTTAAAATAATGATTTAGGATAGACTCTTTTCACCAACCGCTAAACAGATTCGCCTTTTCACACCAAGGTCACCTGCCAATCACAACCAATCAACAATCAACTAATTACTCAAGTGGATCACGGGCACGATTGTTGTGCTGATGACGTCACCGCACGGCACCTTTGTGAACCTGGATCAGGAAGATTAATCACGCGACACGTGAGCTGCTGCTGCTGCTAAAACAGCCTGGGGATTCTGAATGTGATCGCCAGCGAAATGTCATTTAGACTTGTCACAAGTTTTCTTGTTTTTTTTTTATATTACTCTGGTTTGGCTAAAAAAGACTAAATAAATTTGGCATATTTGCCCATCACGTGACAACCTGATTTGATTGGCTCTGCCGGGTGGCGAAGGGTTAAAGCTGAACATTGCCATTGTACCTGCACAATTTAACCCGGACGTTACTATGCACTTTAGTTCATTCGTTTTGCTGTTGTCATTTTGGTGACACTTGCAAATGAGGCGACTTGCAAATGAGGCTTACCCTGGTCTCTTGAGGACCCACCTGGTTAAACAAATCTTGAAACTTGAGCAAAGGCACACATACACACAAGGTTATGTACACATCCAAATCAAGTTTACACTTGTGTGCACGCAGGCATGCACACATTACAGGTACCTCGACAAACACACTCATGCAGGCAGGCACAAACCCACACGCAAAAGACAAAGATCATCCTTTTAGCCTTGACAGACAGGTGGGGCAAGTGCTGTTAGCGAGTAGCAACTATGAAGGCCGGCACGGCACACGAGGGGGTGGGTGGCCAGCACCACCGCACCAGGTTCTCCTTGTGATGCTGAGCCGACGTAGGGTAGGCCCAGGGCTGGCTCGAATAATCGTCACCGGTGCTGGTGGCCGTGAGCGGTGAATTGAGCTCCAGTCCGTGCCGGGGTTTGTACCAATCCCGCATACCATGGCCACTCAGGTTTTGTTTCTGACCCCCCCCCCTCGCCGCCCCCCAGTGTACTTCGTGCGCCGTGAGTCTCGTCAGAAGTGGGCGGTGAGCGACGTGACCTTCTCCACGGAGCACGCGGACGTGGCCGCCCGCTGGGTGCAGGCGGTGCGCAAACAGCTGACGGGCCAAGGCAAGTGGCCACCACGAAGGGCACCGCACAAAGACAAAGATAAAATAAAGATCCCCTGTATAGCCTTAGCAGACTTTTGGGGCAAGTGCAGTTAACGGGCACCTATGAAGGCCGGCACGACACGCGAGGGGGTGGGTGGCCAACACCACGCCCGGCCGCCTTTGTCTCCCCAGTGACGATGTTTACACACCAGGTACTCATTTGAGGCCGATTCGACCTAGGGGAGGCCCAGGGCCGGTTCAAATAATCGTCACCGATGTTGGCCGTGAGCGGCAATCGAACTTGAGTCCCCGGGTTTGTCGCGCAGTGCGCTAACCGCTGCGCCACTGCTCCCCCGCCACCACCGCCGCCGTTGTCCCCACCCCACGTGTGACTGACGAGTCATGGCCGTGCAACCGACACACGATCAACACGCGACAGTCACGCCACCAGAACGCGGTCGATGGCGGGCGACGGATGTGCCATGGGCATCTCCCCCCCCCCCCCCTCCCACCAACCCCACCAAATATTTTCCGGGGTCGCCGCGAGACCGGAGCAGGTGACGCGTAACGACGAGAGGAGCCACAGCCGTAGGCGACCCGGCCGGGATTAGGCCCTGCCGAAGCTGCGTGGCAGCGCACCCAGGATGGGCGGTGCACAGTGCACGCGCAGCCATTCCTCAGTCCACTGCCGGCTGGGGCCTCCCCACCCTGCGTCGAGGTTGCGGCCGGTGGGACCCACTGTGGGTTTGGTAAAGACCGGAAGCATCTTTTTGACATATTTTATACAAAAAGCAAATATTTAAATGTTCTTTGATTCGACCCCCTCCGATTTCCCCCCCCTGCCCGCCCGCCGCCCCCCCCCCTCCCGCGCCCTGCAGAAGTGGAGCGTCCGGAGAGGCTGCTCGTCTTCGTAAACCCGTTTGGCGGCCGCCGAGAGGGCGAGAAGATCTACCGGCAGCGCGTGCAGCCACTGCTTGAGCTCGCGTCCATATACGCGCACGTCATCGGTGAGCGAGAGAGAGGGGGGGGGGGGGGCAGGGTTCACGCCGCGGGGTCGGGTCGGTCTCGACCGGGCCCATCGGCACCGCAGTGCTCGCGAGCGGCGAACGCCGCCGGAGGAGGAGGAGGGTCTCCCGCGTGTCACTAAACGGTGGATCCCTTCTCTCGTTGTCCTTGCCGCGTAGTGACGGAGAGAGCCAACCACGCCCGAGATTTCCTGCTCGCAGAAGACCTCAGCAGTTACAATGGGTATGAGCGTGCGCTTGTGCGTGCGCGTGTGTGTTTGTGTTTTGGGGAGCGGTGGCGAAGCGATTTGCTCGCTGGGCTACTAACCCGGCAGAGACCCGAGTTCAATTCCTGCTCACGGCCACCAACACCTGCGACGATTATCTGAGCCTCTCCTGGGCCTCCGCTAGGTCGACTCGACCTCATATGAGTGTGTCAACAACATCGCCACTGGGGAGATAAAGGTGGCCGGGCGTGGTGCTGGCCACACCACCCCCACGTCTGCCATCGTGGCCTTTGTAGGCGCTCGCTAATAGCGCTTGCCAGAACGGCCTATTCAGGTCTATACAGGTGATCTTTGTATGGTTGTGTATGTGTCAGTATATGGTTGTGTGCACGTGTCTGTGTTCCTGCATGTTTATGTGTTCGTGATTGTCTGTGTTTGTCCTTGTGTGCGACTGGCTGTATGTGTGTGTCAGTGCATACAGTGTGTCATCACACGTGTTTGTGTGTTCATACACAACCTACGTGCCCTTTTATCCATTCGTTTTCAGAGGCGGTTGCTTTTTTAGATGCCACATCTCTCCACATTGAATCGTACGCCTCTCCTAACTTCACCTGCCCTTTCATGTGTTTGTGCATGTGCGTACGTCTGCGTTCCCCCCCCACTGCCCACCCCCTCCGCATCACCCCCCCCATCTCCCCCCCACAGTGTGGTGTGTGTGGGCGGAGACGGCATGTTCAGCGAGATTATGCACGGAGTCATCGGGCGCACTCAGTCAGACGCCGGCCTCGACGAACACAACTCCGCCACTCCGCTGCAGCCGTGCCCCCTCCGCATCGGCATCATCCCTGCAGGTGGCAGCCCGCCCCCTACAACCCCCCCCCCCCAACCTGCTTTTCCACTGGCACATCCTAGTGGACCCAGCCTGACGAGCCACGTGGTCCGGGTGGTTTTGTCCGCTGGCTATGTGCCGTGCCGTGCCGGAATGAAGCCGCGATGAGTCAGCCTCTCAAAACATCTGAATCTGGCTCGGGGCCAAGCAGGGCCGGGGGCGGGATTAATAATCTTTGTTATTGTTTCCGATGGCAGTGACGGTTGGCTACGTGCGGTGCAAATGAAGCTCACCGTACATACACGAAAATGATGTAATCATGAAGGTGTGGTGGTAATAGTAGTAACAGTGAAGCCACGAACGCTGTTGCCAGTGGTGGTGATAGTCATGTGATTTGCATCGTTGCCAGTGGTGGTGATAGTCATGTGATTTGCATCGTTGGTGGTGGCGGTGTTGGTGGTGGCGGTGGTGGCGGTGGTGTAACGGTTTGGTCGTCATCTCCCTCCAGGTTCCACGGACTGCGTGTGTTTTGCCACGGTGGGGACCAATGACCCCGTCACGTCTGCCCTGCACATCATCATCGGTACACAGGCTGCCCCTCCGCATCCCTCCCGCTTGCCTCACCGCCCATTCCCTGCCCGATCTTGGCACACATGCAATCCCGTGGCTTGAACGTGGGTTTTGGTGGATCGCACAGAGGGTAGTCTCTGTGTGAGCCTATGGTCTCTGTGGGTTTCTGTGTGAGTCTGTGGGTGTTTGTGTGAGCGTGGTCTCTGGGTCTCTCAGTGAGCCGTGTTCCCTGTGCTGCCACTCCCCCCCTCCCCCCGGCACCCCTCCCCACGCCGCGCCATGCAGGTGATGATCAGCCCCTGGACGTGTGCAGCGTGCGACAGGGCGAGCGCCTGCTGCGCTACTCCGTGTCGCTGCTAGGCTACGGCTTCTATGGCGACGTGCTGCGCGACAGCGAGACGCGACGCTGGATGGGGCCCATGCGATACGACTTCTCGGGTAGAGCTCTCCAAACGTCCAGTGGTAGAGTGGGCGGGATGAGTGGTAGAGTGGGCGGGATGAGTGGTAGAGTGGGCGGGATGAGTGGTGGAGTGGGTGGGATGAGTGGAGGAGTGGGTGGGATGAGTGGTGGAGTGGGTGGGATGAGTGGAGGAGTGGGCGGGATGAGTGGTGAGTAGGTGGGATGAGTGGTGGAGTGGGTGGGATGAGTGGAGGAGTGGGTGGGATGAGTGGTGGAGTGGGCGGGATGAGTGGTAGAGTGGGTGGGTTAAGTGGTAGAAAGTCCAAGTTGGAGATTTGTTGCACGGATGATCCTATTTTGGCGAGTTTCCCGGCTATTTTACAAAAACATGAACATTGCAGAGGATGAGTAGACACGCGGATGAAACAAATACAGTGCAAGGATAGTACGACAGCAAGACGTGGCAGAAAGACGTGCGTACGCTCTGTATCGTACTCGAACAGTGACATAAACGCACAAATTGAGCAAAAAAAACCAACGTGGGAGCAAGAGACGCAAGAATAAAGTTAGGTGCAAGTAAGCTCTGTGTTTTGGCCTAATAAGGACATGCAAATCGGGGGAGTGAACCAAGCTTCAGATGGGCAGCAAGGGTGATGCAGCAACGTGAAAATGCTCGGTGGAGTTGTGTGTGTGACCTGAGCTCACCCTGCAGGCTTCAAGACGGTCATGAAAAACTGTCGCTACGAGGGCAAGATCGAGTTCCGTCTGGCGGGGTCATCCTGGTCCGGGCCCAGAGACTTGAAGCGCTGCCGGAGCGGGTAACGCGTCCTCAAGAGCAGTCAAGCACCCTCACGTGACCTCGCGAGCACTCGCGCGACCTCACGCGACCTCACACGACCTCACACGACCTCACACGCCCTCACGCAACCTCACACGTCCTCACGAGCTCTCACGCGACCTCACGTGCCCTCACGCGCCCTCACGCGACCTCACACGCCCTCACGCGACCTCACGTGCCCTCACACGTCCTCACGAGCCCTCACGCGACCTCACGCGCCCTCACGCACCCTCACGCACCACTGTACAACAACAGCAACAAACAGCGACATCGCTGTTACAGCCCCTCGGGCGATCCGCTGCCGGACGAAGGCCCGCCCACTGCGTGGGGTTTATTTTTATCATGTATCGTCGCTGATGTTTCGCCTCTGGCTGGGAAATCGGACTCAGGTGGCCGGGTATGTGGTGCAGGCTGCTAACCGCTGTGACGCCTCTTCCCCGCCCCGCGACACGTAGAGCGAATCGTTTTATTAATGTGTTTGTTTACCAGGGTGAGAAACATTCAGCCTTAATCCGTTTTATAAGAATGGCCCGTGAATGACTTTGGACCGTAACCTTAAATCGTGGGCAAGTGAGTCGGAAATTATTTTAAGATTCATTTCATATTTCAATAATTCGTGTGCGCGCACAACACCCACACACACAAGAACCACAGATGGATAATATAACGTTAAAGGCTTTTGGGGCAAATGCTGTCGGTGGAGTGTCTATTAATGCCGGCACGGCACATGAGGGGGAGGTGTGGCCATTGCCGTGCTCGGCCGCCTTTGTCTCCCCAGTGTCAATGTTTACACATCGCTCCAGGTGCTCATTTAGGGCTTATTTGGCCTTGGAGAGGCCCATGAATGGGTTTGCCACGCATGCCAACTTCTAAATCTCGTACCACGTTCTTGTGTTCATGACAACACAACCATTCCAGGTACTCGTTTTAGGCCGAGTCTACCTAGGGGAGAACCAGGTCGCACTCATTACACACACAAAGTGCTTGTCACAAATTAACCACACTGCCTTGCTGATCTCATCAAGGAGTATAAACCATCATCACATGAGCTGCGGTCATCATGTACGCAGCGGCTTCTGGCTGGGTATTGAACAAAGAAGGTCACTGCATCCCGCGCTTTCAGATGCGCTTCTGCGGCCGTCTGGAATGCTCTTCCCTCCGATATTCTGAAGCCACCGGAGCGATGCACTTTTAAATCATGTAGATTGATAACTCATTTCTTTTTAACTTTCTTTTTGTATTTTAGTTTGTTATCCTTACCCGCACACCTCCGATGACCACGGTTGGCTACTGTACGGTGCGAAAGAAGTTCAACATACATACAACATACATACAACATATATGCAACATACAGATATTTAGAATTCATGTTGTTTTTCACGGAGAAAGCACACCGCACATGCTGGAAGGCAGCAGCCAGGCCGTGAGGCTGGCACTACCAATAACCGCCCGAGCTCTGCAGTCCTCTCTATATTAAGATGTTTACCGCCAATTAATGAGTGTTCATACAAAGGCAGGCGTGGAATTCAGATCTCCTGCATCAAGGGGCGGCATGTCCGCCACCGCGACGCCACTCTCACGGTGGCCGTGGCTGCGCCCATTTCCCCTGCAGGTGTGAAATCTGCTCGCAGACCTCCGAGAAGCTGAAGGGAGCGGAGGATGAGGAGGAAAGGGGGGGTCTCCCATCCCCCGTGACGCCCCTACCCACCGATGACACGGGTACGTGCGACACGCACTACACGCACTACACGCACTACACACACTACACACACACACCACACACTGCCCACACTACACACACCACACACGCCTATGTACAGGGTGCTTCAAAAAAATGTGTTAACACTTCTGAGAATTTGCAATAATGCCATAATAAATGTGCCTCCGCACTCTGGAGACCACCTGGAGAAGATTCCAAGCAACGCGTTGACAATGCTGGCGAACAAGTCGTAGCGGCGAGGCCGCCTTCCCACCGAGTCCGCCCCGGGTCACTCGCTCGAACCTCCGCGTCTCCGCCCGCTCAGCGGCGGCGGCAGCGGCCGGCACAGCTCGGAACGCGCCGGTGGGAAAGGGGAGAGACCCACGCCGCGTTGGTCTCTGCGGACGCGCGTGGCGCTAACCGCGAGATCCTCCGTGGCCCCGCGCGCGTAGACGGCTGGCGCTGCCTGGAGGGGGAGTTTGTGGCCGTGAACGTGGCCTGCATGAGCTGCGCCTGCCCCAAGAGCCCCCAGGGGCTCTCACCCGCCGCTCACCTCGCCGACGGCGCCGCCGACCTCATCGTGGTGCGCAAGTGCTCGCGCCTCGAGTTCACGCGCTTCCTGCTGCGGCACACCAACAAGCGCGACCAGGTGCGACCGCGCACGGCGACACGCCGCGCTGGTACACACCGACACACGCGACCAGGTGCGACCTCGCACGGCGATACGCCGCGCTGGTACACACCGACACACCGACACACGCGACTACGGGTGTCACGCGCACACGCGCGGGGCCGTGCGAACCCTCCCACCTCACCCTCTCCCCCCCCCCACCCCGTGCTCTCCCCTCCGGCGTGGCCGCCCCAGTTCGACTTCCCGTTTGTGGAAGTGTACCGCGTGACGGAGCTCAAGTTCAAGCCGCGGCTTCACGAAGACGACGACGATGTCGGCGGCGGCGACGACGACGACGATAGCGGCGGCAGGGGCAGCAGGGGCAGCGGGGGCAGCGGGGGCAGCGGCGGCGGCAGCGGCGACTGCGGCCCGAGCGGCGCGTCGGGGCCCGGCGGCGGCGGCGGCGACGACGGCGGCGAGGGCTTCTTCCACGACCTAAACGAGAACGCGTGCGGCGCCAGCAGCGACGCCCTCGCCGCCGCCGACGACGACGAGCAGCAGCAGCAACAGCAGCAGTCGCTGTGCGCGTGCCGCTCGTTACGCAACACCAGGAGCACGTGGAACTGCGACGGAGAGATCCTCCACGAGACCGACATAAGCGTGCGGTGAGAGGGAGACGGGGGGGGAGGGAGACGGGGGGGAGAGAGATGGAGAGATTGGAGGGAAGACGGGGGGAGCAGGACAGACCCAGGCGCAATGGTTTGACTGACTGAGATGACTGGCAGATGCACCACCAGTTCCCCTGACTGTCCCCACACAACACGCACGTTCACACACACACACTTTAACGTGGCTCGCAAGGAGCGCTCACACGTTTGCCTTGCAACTCCGTGTTGTCGCAGGGTTCATGGGCAGCTCATCAAGTTGTTTGCTCGCGGCATCGAAGACCAGCTGGGATTCGGCTGATGACCACCGGGAGGGGCAGATGAACGGACGGGTGGACGCCCCCGCAACAAAACGGCCGGACAAACGCACAAACGCATCCGGAGGGATGGCGAACTCAAGCCGAGTCAGTTGACAAGTCGGCAATGTGTGGGCCAAGACCGTTCCCTCTCTCTCCCCTGCCCGCCTCCGACATCCCGCTTCCTGCTGCACACCGACAGCCACCCAGCCTCGCTGCCCCCCCCCCTGCAAGCGCAACAAACTGACGCGCTTACAAACAACAACAACAATGGCGGAGTCTCTCTGCTCAAGCTGGCCGGCGGGAACCGCTTCCATCCCCTTCGCTTCTCCTTTTGGTGAAAGATGACCACATTCCTATGGCAAGGGGGGGGGGGGCAGTGGGGCAGTATTTACCATCTTGTTGGTCTCCACAGGGTGGCCACTGCCGACTCTGTGCAGAGTGGTGCCAGCTTTCTCAGCGGGCGGTGGGATGACGGCCGCTCCGAGCGACGGGCAGTCACCCCCCGGAATCTCACGGGACGAGTTTGAGAGCGTGCGACGAGTTTTAGAAACAAACAAAAATATATTCGCATCATTCGTGGTGGATTCTTTAACAAAAAAAAAATCCATTCGAAGGAGCTTTTGAAATAGATCAAATAATATATATTTAAATGAAAGTAGAAGTATATATATTTATTGAAACGTAATTTAAACGCTTCATTTGCACCGCTTGTGTCTGGATATCCGTAATTCTCTACGGCTGAGCCACATTCAGAGGCCGTCATGGCCGGTGCTCCCGATGCTTCCGTCCTCCGCCGCCGCTTCCGATGGCTGTTTGCAGGCGTTGCAGAGTGGACGCCATTGATCCAAGGGCTACGATTGTCGCCCCGTCACCATCTTGGCTTTCGCCCATCCCCTTGGACCTCAACCTCTGGTTGGCACCTCCAGTGCCCAGCTCCATAACCTGCTCTCCCCCTTCCTGCACAGGTGTTCCCACCCATCACAACCTCCTACTCCTCCCATTGACATCTCCAAGTCTTTCCTGCGCCCCACATTCCGTTGTAATCCAGCACTGAGGAGCGAGGAGCAAGGGCTGGTGGATCACGCACAGATGGTGTGAAGCTCCCGAGGTGTTCGTGCCAGGAGAGGGCGGCACAACAACAAATGTGGCCCCCGGCCTGTTCCGTCTGTGTGGGATCGAGTGTTTCCCCCTCGCACGCGTGGGGCTTTTACCGGGCACTACGGATTCCTCCCACGTGTATAAACGCACATTCATTGGCCGATGACGCCTTCATATATAGAGGAGCATAGAGCTTGGGCAATCGTTGGCGCTGGCTCGCCTTCAAGCCCGTCTGTGGTTCCTCCTCCAGTATCTGAGTCGTCCACTGTCTCTCGCTCTGTGCGAGAGCGAGCGTGTACTGTGCGGCGGCTTCGCGTTACAAGTTGACATATTCTAACATTGTTGTTATATTGTACATTTTTATCTTTTGGGGTGAAAAGCACAAGGCCCACAATGATTGCTGGGATTGGAAAGCCAGACGTGAATTTAGGACCAAGTAGACTTCTGAGGCCAAGTGGCCTTCTGTAGCCGTAGTTGTGAGTGTAACATTTGGTGTGCTGTACATATTTACACTTTGTACAGGATTTATCGGTGATTGTTTAATGGTTGTGAAATTGTAGATAGCGTTGACCTTGCTTAGACGTGGCCACTCGCTGTGCCTGCTTTTGAGTCTCACAATCTCTGCGCGCCCCTCTACGTGTGGTCTGCATTTTTATTTTTTTGTGCTCGAGGTCAAAAAAGTTGACGCGTTCACTTCTGGGCGTAAAGAACGGGAAAACAAAGTGATCGATGTCGAATATTCGCTGCAGGTCATGCCAACACAAAACTTTGCTTCAGCAAAGCTTCGCGGAGTCTCAAGACTCTTTTCAAGAGAGTCCTGCCTTGTGATGCTCGGCCTTTTGGGAAAAAAAAATTGTGCAGGAAGAAATGAGAGTGCCCCAGAGGAAACACCGCCCTTGTGGCAGGCTATCGACCTACTTGCTGTGCTGCATCTAACACGGCTGTTGTGACCCACCGACCCCCCGTGGCAAGACGCCGTGGGCGATGGGCATGCATCGCCATCGCCATGTGCCAGTCGGTCAAGCGCCACGGTGGCTAGGAGATGTTAACTACCTCGCATGGTCTACAGGAGGTCGTGGGTTCGATCCCGACCCTGACACCTGCTGTATATTTGTAGTTTGCGTCTCTCTCCCTGTGGTCGCGTGGATTTTCTTCGGGGTCCTTTGGTTGTTCCCTCCACATTTAGAATCAATGTGCGTTTAGACTATTTGGTTACTGCTATAAATTTCCACGCGATAAGCCACTTTTGTTGAGCTATCATTTGTGGCCAGTCGCTTCTGAAAACAGAGCTGTATAGCTCGGTGGGACTTACCTGGTAAAAATTCTGCGCAGGCAAATTGAACGCGTGAGGATTTCACGAGCGATGTTGTTCACGATAACAACAAAACTTAGTCGGGTTAGAGATCGCGTAATGTGCACACGCGTCTCACACCCCACACCTCCACCCCCGACACACACCCAACTAGGACGGTTTGTCACGTGAACAGAAAGTGACAATTAGGTACTCCTTCGTGTGTTCAGAGAGCAAACCTACAACGTTTATAATTCTATTTTGTGTAAATGTTATGGGTTTTGCTCTCTCACATGCAACCGGTGGCGCTGAAGAATTAATAAATTGGCACGTTCTGTTCACGTGACCGACCTTACCGATTTGCTGCGTTTCGGCTGGAGGAGGTGGGTTTTCACGACACACTTCACATTTACGCCACCTGCACCCACACACACAAAACAAACTTTACCTGTGCAGGCGATTTGACGGAAAGCATGAAACGTCGGCCGCTCGGAGCGGTGGGCTCACTTTGTGAAGTCACCGCGGCCTCCCAGGGACGCGATTTTGCCGTTGACGGCGATCGTCCGCGTGTCCCGAGGGGCCTTAATCGCCGATCGATGGCGAAGCAGCTGAGCTTGTATGCAATATAGAAAACCCGTTGCCTTAGATGTCCCATGCAAAGGCGACTGCGTGTGTGTAAGTGTGGGGAGCGGTGGTGCAGCGGTGAGCGGTGGAGCGATCACCACCACCGGTGACCATTGTCTGAACCGGTTTCTGGGCCTCCCCTAGGTAGACTCAGCCTCAAATGAGTTCCTGGTGCGGTGTGTAAACATTGGCACCGGGAAAACAAAGGCGGCCGGGCGTGGTGCTGGCCACCCACCCCCTCGTGTACCGTGCCGGCCTTCATAGGTGGTTGCTAACAGCACTTGCCCCAACAGTCTGTTACAGGCTCTACAGAGGGTCGTTTGCGTGATATATTTTGAACTGAATGGCGCGTTTGGCGGCTACGTAGCAGCGGTGCGAACGAAGTTCAAGTTCACCGTACGTACATGCGGCGCTGTCGTCTCTGAGAAAGTCGACGTTTCTCTCTCTCTCTCGCCCTACCTACCTTTTTTCTCAAACAATTATCGCCGTGTAGTTCTCTCTTTCTCTCCCTCTCAATGTGTCGTCGGAGGGATGTCGGAGAACGATTTTAAGTTAACACGATAATAATAATTTCTAAATGAGTTATTGGCCGGGTGGAAATCCTGCGGCGGTGTATTTTACAGGAGGGGCTGGAGCTCCGTGTTGCCGTGGTGTCGATGGTTGACCGGGTTCTTAAATCCCCCTCCCGCCCGTCCGCCCCCTGGTCCACCCACGGCTGCGCTCACCACGGTTAGCCAGCAGGTGGCGTGTGTGTGGGGTCGAGTGTGGGTCAGGGTTGCCCAGCAGGTGGCGTGTGTGTGTGGGGTCAAGTGTGGGGGGTCACAACGTTTGGCCACGGCGTCGAAGGAGTCTGCCAAAACGGCACTGTGGTTTTTTTAAGCGCTTCCTCGAGTCCTGGGGTGGCGAGGTCGGCCTTCAGCCAGCGTGAGCAGGCAATTGCAGGGCTGCGCCTTCATAACACACTCGTGTGTGTGTGTTTGGTTTTAGTGGGGAGCGGTAGAGTAGCGGTCACCGCCCTGCACCACGAACTCCGGCGACCCGAGTTTGATTCCCGCTCACGGCCAACACCGGTGGCGATTATCTGAACTGGTCCTGGGCCTCCCCTAGGTCGACTCAGCCTCAACGAGTACCTGCTGCGGTGTGTGCACTGGTGAGACAAAGGAGGCCGGGCGTGGTGCCGGCCACCCACCCCCTCGTGTACCGTGCCGGCCTCCACAGGTGGTTGCTAACAGCACTTGCCCCAACATTCTTTTAGGCTGTACGGGGGATTCATATTCTTTGGTTCTTTAGGTAAAGTCACGTCGATAGAAAAATAATAATACGTAAAGTGAATAAAAATTAAAGCAAAAACCAGGACGTTTCGATCGTAACACAAGCGGTCATCATCAGGAAAATATGTTTATTTTAATTTCATGATTTTTCTATTCACTTTATTAATATATAATGTTTATATCTACGTGACTTTACCGAAAGAATCAAAGAATATAACACGAAAGTTTTAAATAAAAATTTCAGCGGGGTGTCTTTGGTTTGGGTTTCACCTTCCCTTTCGTATAATCCAGGTCACGTGGGTGTGTGGCCCGAAGTTACACAACAAGTCGTGCAATGGTTGTTTACATCTTGACTTGAAGCTTTCGTGACTGCAGGAATTAATATTCTTGGGTCTTTCGGTAAAGTCACCGAGATAGGTTCAAAGAAAATAACAAAAAATAACGTTTCTATCTTCAGGAAAAGGGGGGTTAGCTTCAAGGCAAACTGTTTATAAAGGTTTGAAATGGGCATAGCCCAAATGTCAGCAGCCAATGATAATGCGAGTAGTGGGTATCTAACCCCCGGCGATGGTTGGTTTTCCACCAATCAAAGGGCTGCCAGGTGTAAGAGAGATTTTAAAAAATGGTTGTTTATTTAATCACTGCTCGTTTTTTTATTTATTCCTGGATAATTTATAATAGTTGTTTTAACGTTTTCGGAGTGTTTATATTATAATTTTTCTCCCGAATGTGCAAATTGAGAATGTTTTAATGGTTAAAATACGGTGCGAAATAACATCACGTGTACGCGCGGGACTGATGCATTGTGGGTTATTGTAAACCCACACTGCTCCTCTTGAAAGCGCCTATTTTGAGTATCGGTGCATCGGCTTGATTTAAACTGCAAACAAACCTCCATGGCAATAGTAGCGGTAGCAAAGTGATCAGTTACGGAGTGATTCGCGTTTTTTTCCTCTCCACCGCAATGGTTCAAACGGTCCAAGGCGGAGCTGTAGAGCTACAGGGCAGCCTCAAGAAAGGAAACTCCGAATATAATTTTATATTAACGTATGAAGCACCTTCACTCAAGGCACTGGGCGTAGTTGAAAAAAACGTTCAAATGAATGTACGTTGAACTTCTTTCGCGCCGTACGTAACCGGCCGCGCTAATCGGAGTGTGCGGGGGAAGGACAGCAGACTATCACACAAAGTGATCCGAAAGAAATTAGTTTTCAATCTAGATGACATAAGTACATATCTCCCAGTGGCATCCTAATATCGGAAGAGCGTTCCAGACGGCCGCAGAAGCGCATCTGAAAGCGCCGCGCGATGAGAGGATCGAACGATTTTAGATGGCGTGGGACGCTTGAGGAATGAGTGACCCCAATAGGAGGGTTACTTAGGGTATCACGAAGGAGTCGGGGAGGGACGGGAAGGAGTGGAGGAGTGTTTGAGGGGAGGGAAGATGATGGGCGATGAGAGAAAACGGCGAGTTGTTTGTAGCAGTGTCAAGCAGTCGATGCTGTCGCCTGCTCGGTCACATCCGGTTGGTAGTGCTCATCTCGGTTGGGTGTCCCTGACCCATTGGTGGACTGTCCACATTCTCATGGTTGGGGAGTGGATGTTTCCCTTCCGTGGCCGGCGCCAATTTCCTCTAAAGTGGTATGCATTTTATTAGCCCGGCGGTATGATGATGATGGGTGTAGATGACCTGTTTACTTGCGTTGCGAGTGCTGCAATTACAGGTTAAATGGTCACAGGGTAGCGATAACAGACACTTGGGATGGAGGGCGTTGGCAGTGCCGGGTGTAGGTACAAGCTCGGCAAGCTACTGCGTAGGCCCTCGTATTATGAGGGGCCTCTAAATATGACCAAAACAAATACGTTTCAAGTTTTACATAATCGGTTGAAAAACCAGTAGATGGGGGGGGGGGGAACTTTCCCAAACGGTTATTTTCATTCTGATTTGACAAAAAGTGTACGCGCGTTGAACTTCTTTCGCACCGTACGTAGCCAACCGTCCTCATCAGAGGTGCGGGGGAAGGGCAACGAATATGCAGACATTCCTCCATTTACGAGCCGTAAGCTTGACACAGCTTACATCCCCAGATCAAATCATGTTCCAGCCCTGGGTCTAGGCCGGGCCTTATTGGTACGGTGCCCCCCCCCCCCCCCTAATCAGGATCACTGGTCCCCGTGACCCCACCAAGGTGACTTGAGCGCCAGTACACAGAGAGGATCCATCACGGCCGAAGTCTGCGATGGATCCTCTCTGTTGAGGATCCTGGACTCTGGTCTGTGGATCGACTACTGGAGATTTGACATGCGTCAGTAGCCCGGACATTGCACCTTCACGTCGGCCATCATTTATGGGTTTTTTTTCTTTCTTTACTTTTATAGGACCGCAGTGTTGTTCGTGAATGTGTTGAAGTGTTGTCGTTTGTGCCGATGCAGTATCGCAGCAACAACAAAAACAAGCGATTGAATCTGGGTAGGCAAGGGACTCGAATCGATCCGTTCATCGTCGACTGCACTGAGGACTGATGGCCCACTCGCTCGCATCGATTTGGAGGTTTCGTTTAATTTGACCAATCGCGGGTCTGAAGACGGTAAAGCTAAAGTGTTGGGTGGCTGACAGTTTCACAGATGTCCCTTACTGGACATCTGTGAAAAAAGAGCTTTATAGCTCATAGGATTCCTCCAGCAAGAGTCAAATCATTCCCATTCGCACCTCCGGCAGAAGCTTTGAAGGCGCCTCTCGTGACGGCTGAGTGGGGCCGATTGCAAGTGGCTGGCGACGATGTTGCCCAACATCCTTCGGCTCTTGCCGTCATATAATAACGTCCGGTTAATCGAGCAGCAATGTGCTTTTAACAAGCGCGACTGCTGATGAGACCCCGAAGGTGGAAACTGGTCCAGAGTTTTCCTACTTAAACTGAGTGCCATTCGGTAATATTGGTCTGGGGAGGCCGATGGACTGAACGGTGTCATTATTCACGTCGGAAGACCGAATTGGATTCGTCCTCATATGGTGTCGTCGGTAGTAGAATGGCTTCTTCACGTCTTTACGCCAATACTAATAACAACAAGATGAAGACACAATTGGTGATTAGTTGAAATTGACAGACCTAGGCAAATCCCACTGGGTTTGTTGCCTTCCACACAAGAGTGACGTTCACCCGCTGATGAGATTTATTCCGTAAAAAAAGGCGTATATATATGTATGTGTATATATGTTGTTGCAGATCGTATCGCATCTGTTCATGCAAACTGAGTTGTGTTTCTTCTGTGACCCCCCCACACACACCACGTGGTGAAATAAAGATTTTAACTCTTGGGCGAGAGCCGTTCCCTCTTGGCGAGTTTGTTTGCAAGTCGCTGAATGAACATCGCAATTTAAGTGTAATTGAAAGCGTCATTTAAGTGTGTTCTGGAAAAAAACTAAACTTGAGCCATTTTTTGTTGTTGTTAGATCATCTATCCTGGCCTCGTCTATGACTAAATCACTCTGGGTGCGTCCGATCTTGTGAGATCTTGGAACGCTCGGCGGGGATGAGCCTGGATAACGCCTGGATGGGTGCCCTCCATGCATCACGGTGGTTGTCGAGGCTGCCTCGCTGTCGTGATGGTGGACGTGGCAGGCGCTGTCACTCAGTGCGCACCGCCCATCAGCGTGTTTGGCTTTGTACGGTGAGCAGTGCCGGATTATCCCAGTAGCAAAAGTAGCTACATATGCTACGGGCCCCGCACTTTCAGGCTATAAATTCCGGTTCAGTGATTCTGCACTTGCTCTATTACTATAGTACTATACTGCCTTCAACTTTTACGAACGACTGGGTGTTTAAGAGTGGGGTGGCCTATGAAAGCATTGGTCCCTGCCATGGAAATGTGGAATTTCTATCACCGACTCGGCAGCTTTTCGCCACGCTCAGTTGAGCACCGGAACACTTTGACCTTCATGTTCGCAAAATTGTTGTTGAAAATTGTAGAGTTAACTTTATTGGTCTTTGCGCTGTAATTATAGCACGAATACCAAACGTTATTTATTACGAACGTATGTCTTCGGTGATGGAATGTAGTTGTTTATTACAGATGTCATGGGTTTTGATAATCAACATTTTCTGCACATTCAAACAAAACTGATTTAATAGAAATGTCACACGTGAACAATAACAAAAACGTTTGGTCCCATTTTTACCACGAAAATCGGTCCCGTGAATAATTATAGAATGAAAAGAAAATGGATGAGAAAACAAGCCAAGCCATTAGGCCTTGGGTTGAACAGCATTGTCATCATAGTGAATGAACACCAGCAACTTACAGAAAACAAACCAACATTCAATCACGAAAGTGGCAGTGCCAGGCTAAGTGTCCTCTTTCGGGGGCACACAACCGTTGCAGAAGGATCGCCGGCAGGGAGTAACAGCCGTGGGGTGCAAGCAATGAAGTGGGGTCCCTCCTGTCCAATCATAGCCCAGTCCTTGGGCCCCTCCTGTCCAATTACAGCCCGGTGATTGGGTTCCTCCTGTCCAATCATAGCACGGTAATTGCCCCCCCCCCTCCCCTGTCCAACCATAGCGCGGTGATTCGGCCCCCCCCCCCCGTCCAATTAAAGCCCGGTGCTTGGGCCCCTCCTGTCCAATCAGAACACGATGCTTGGGCTCCTCTTGTCCAATCGGAGCTCGGTGCTTGCAGATTGCAACTTCTGCATCGCCTGGATATTAAAGTTTTGAGAATGAAATAATGAAATCATATAACTCCCCATCTGTTTGGGTTCCATCTTTCTTCAAGTAAGTAGTTCTTAACTCATGGCTGACCCCCACCTCTACCCTTCCATCCAGGGAAACACAAAAACCTTTTCGGGAGAATGCCGAGGCTGCGGCATGGATACCGTGCAGCACAAACTTTTCCTGCACGGCACCCACACGGTGTGAATCTCGTGCATCAGCGCCACCCCGTGGTGACAAGTCGCACTCCAGTAATTCGCCACGTGAAACAATCGCCTGACTTTGAACACCGTGTCGACTCGATGCGCGGACACGCGACCACTCGTGTGTCCTGCGCCTGTGGTGGCCTTGGGGTCACCGGAGGTCTGTTGGAGGGGTGGGCCAGCGGAGAGGGAGGGACAGGGATGAACAGCGATCTTGACTGCTTTACAATTTTGCTGCTATAAATTTCCCAACGATAAAAGCCACTTTGTTGAGCTATCATTTGTGGCCAGGTCGCTTCTGAAAAAGAAGTTAACAGCTCAGTGGGCTTGACTTGGTCAGATACATTTTTTTGTTAAGTTTCATTTGTAGATATTTCTGAATTTATTTGTTTCCCTTTCCTATACTTTACACCCCTATCGTTTTTTTTGTATTGTCGTTGTAACATTCTTACACGCCCCAACTGGACATATGTGAAAAATATCTTTATAGCTCGAATTCCTCCAGTATAAATACATATTCTGATTCTGACTAGGGGGGGAGGGGGGCAGGCAGCGCCACACCAAGACGGTCGAGAAGCTCTCCGCTTCTTCAAGTCGACTTCAATGGGAGCCGTGAAGTGGGAGTCATGAAGTGCGCGTGTGGGGAGGGGGGGGGCTTGTGGCCGTGGGCTTCGCCGATCCAGTCGTGGCTGGCAACGGGGTCGTTGTCGGGGCGGATGGAGACGCGACGCGAAGGGGGGAGGTGGTGACAGCAGGAACAGTTCCACGGCTGCGACTGTGCTCAACTAGCCACCTTGGGACGAGGGAGGGTGAGGTGGGGGGGGGGGCAAAAAAAAACACAAATGCAATAAAAGAGACCGCCGTGCAACGTGAAGTCACAGATGTTTGCCAGTATTTATTTCGTGATTTGCGTGGATTTTTCTCCGGGTCCTCCGGTTTTTACCGCCACACGTTTAGAGTATATGGTTGCTCAATATCCACGTGATAAGCCACTTCGTTGAGCTATTATTTGTGGCCAGATCACTTCTGAAAAATAACTATATATACAGCAGTGCAGTGGGCCTTACCTGGTAAAATAAAGCGTGTAGTATGTGATTGTTGGTAGACAAGTAATTGGTGACCAGGCTGAGGCCATCAGCACACGACACTTGGGAGAACCTGGCTCTAATTACAGTCAGAAGCCTGGATTAAAATGAAATAATTCAGCTGTGAAGGCTCATATCTCTGCGAGCCACCCGGTCACCCCATGGTGGTTGAGGCTAGTTCTAGAGGTACACATTTTGAAAACACATCCAATGTAATCTGGGATAATAAATCACACGATTGTCGTATTCTCCACATCATCGACACACGTGTCGCCCCCACCGAATTTCAAAGAAAAATATGTGTGTGCTTCTTATAATCCGGTACGTGTGTACATGTGTGTGTGTGCGAGACCAGATTTGAATAACTATATTGGCACAAATCAAGATTATATTGGCACAAGCTTGCAGTGCAATTTCAGGGAAGCTGAGAGGCAACGTCGATGACGGTAGCGGCGTGTGGAATGACACTCGCTGGGGCTCTCATTCAGCAGTCGAGCGCTGCTCTCCCGAGAGACGGTAGCGGGCTTCAGACAATGGCCTAATCTATTCACATTAAAATTTTTAAGATTTATAGTTTTAATTCTATTATTATTTCTATTATTTAATAATTATTATTTATTTTTACCTACGTGACTTTACCGAAAAAACCTTAGAGTATGAATCCTTGCAGTCACGAAAGCTTCAAATCTAGAATACATTTTTAAAAAACTTACTTTTTTTTCCTTCCTTTTCTCTGTACATTGTTGCTATTCATGCGATTCCCCAGAGGCACGTGGCATCTTGCTCTCAATCGACTCCGTGTCGCGATGTTTGATCCCGATCCGCCTTCAACGATTGTCCTCAATAGACACTCTTCATTCCGCTGTACGTATGTTTAATTTCTTTCGCGCCGTACGTAGCCAACCACGCGAATTGGAGGTGCGTTGTCCAGTTGTGCCCATCCAAGCGACCTCATTGTTCGACTCTGGAGTCGTGTGAATCTATGGAATTTTCACTTTTTATCCGGAATGGTTTATGAACACAACATGCCCACGTGGGAGTGTGTGTGTGCACGACGTGGCATTCAAGTTTGAAAGGTAAGAGTGAGATTTTAGTGAAAAGGAGAAAAGGACCGATTGATTTTTACAAACCTCACTCGCACCACAAGAAATACAAAAATCCTGTTGGGAGTAAAGTGCCGTGAGCGAACACCAGTTAAAGGTTGGGATGATACACAATGGGGTGGGGGGGGGGTCAGCACCACACGTTTCACCATCTCTAACCTGCACGTGTTCGCGGTAACGCAGTGTGCCAGGGCATTAACTTAAGGCAGAGTCAACCTGGAGGAGTCTCAGACCAAGTGAAGATGCCGATTGTTGGTGGTCTTGTGCAATGGGCCAGGTAGCGAACCCAGGATGCTGCAATTGTCGGGCAATGCACCACTACAGTCGACAGACCACCCCTGTTGAGTCTATCGACCAAGTGGCTATTGCTGTTAGTGAGCACCTATTGGTAGTGCTGGCAGGGCACACATGGACACAAGCGTTTCACACGCGCCGCCACGTCCATCACACACACAGACAACCAACGCAACACGTGGAATTACCATGCGCAAAGAAGGAAAGAGAATCGGGAGCTGTAAGCGCATGAAAATAACACTTTTTATTATTTGTTCTAGCATGTTCAGCCACTTGCAAAACATATGCTTAGGCAAGCGGTTGATGTGGAATGTCATCACGAACGATTAAACGATTCATTGCCGAATGATTGTACAAAGTGTTTGAGAGGGCACGCCGTGCTTCAATTTTACTTTGTGCCTACAAGTGCTTTAAGACATTCAGATGTAACTTCTAAGAGGGTCAGGTGACTCGGAGGTGGGGGGGGTCTGGTGGGGAGGGGGTGCTAATGCCATGTCAAGACACACTACGCTAAGCCAGCACGAGCGAGATCCTGGATTGAAATCCAGATTTAAGCCGCCCGTGATTAAACTGGATTTCTCAAGTGGAGGCAGATGAGGGTGTCAGCCTGGTCACCAATGATGATAATTCTCATCAGCACCTGCACCTGGTTCATTTCAGTCGTCAAGCTGCGCGAGTTCACTGTCGCCGTCCGACTGCCACGTGATGAACATGTTGTTGTTGTTGCCGGGTGTATAAAGAGTCACAGCCTCCCCTCCGAGTGGGGCTATTTGAAGTGGCTTCAGAAGTCGGTTTTGGTTCTCCGACACAAGGCGAACAGATTCACTCCTCACGCCGGAGAGCTCCAAAGGTTTGTCTCGTGACGTCATGCGCCGTCCGTCATGAACAAACAAGAATTAAGAAAAATCGAGCAGTTGGGAAAAACCACGTTACCCAACACACAGCGCAGTCACGTTGAAGTTCGTCGAATCGATTGTTTCAGCGTAATGTGCACGCAAGCAACATGTGGGATTTTAATTCAGCGCCAGGCAGTATGGCATCAAACGTACTGCCTGGCGTTGAAAAACACGCACAGGTAGTCCTCTAATTACGATGGAGATGCGATACGACGACCCCATCGTAAGTCGAAGATATCGCAAGTCGAAGATGGCCTAGCCTACCCAGGAGTCTTAAAAAATGGTGATAATTTAGCAAAACAGAGCAATTTACAGTACCGTACTGTATAAACTACATACTGTATGTATTTATTAATTACAATACTGTATTGAACAGTAAAATGTAAAGTAAAAAAACAAGGTAAATTTTTAGCCTACCTATATGAACTGCAATTTAATAGAAAGTTTTTCAGGAAACAAACCTATCTGCACCACACAAGGCGGGAGGATGCGTACATCCCGGCAGCGTCCCAACGTACAGTATCGTACCTCGCACGCCGCTGCGTTTGCCTGCCGCGCGAAATTTAAAATATTTAACAATTTTGTCGTATCGCTATCGCCATTGTAAGATCTAAATATCGTAAGTCGGACCATCGTAACTCGGGGACTACCTGTAGACACACACTCCCAGCCACCTAAAAAAAGGCATTGAGATTTGTTTGTGCAGTCAACAGGCATCAACGCTCCAGCTGACAATCCGGTTAAACAACAAACGGCCGAAAACTGCAGGATCTCAGCAGCGCCAAATTAGTGCTTAGACATTTCCCCATTTTAAGCCACCCAGCGGGACCCATGATATAGTTTTTGAAATCGGAATTGCCACAACTATAACGAATCGTTGAAAAAAAACTGAAAAAATTCCAGCAGCTCGAAATAAGTGCAGAAGTGCAGAGCTGCAAATGTGCGTTTCCGATTTCAGCTTCCGGAAGAAGTGCATTCAGAATCAGAATATTTATTTATACTGGGAGGAATCTGATGAGCGATAAAGCTCTTTTTCACAGATGTCCAGTAAACTAGCAATACAGCAAGCCTTAAACAAGGTAAATACAACATCTACAGCAATAGGTCTGAAGCCCTGTTGATAATAGTCTCAAATAATTATTAAACCCCAGGGCTTGAATCCAGAACGCTAATTGATGCCGACTCAGTGCTCCAATACAGCCAATACGACCATCTGGTCAACCGTACAACCCAGCCAGCCTGGTGTGGCGGCTCAGGTCGTTTTTCCCACTACAGAAGCCGAGCTGTGCCCACGACGTGACACGTGACGGGCGAGTCGAGACGCAACAAAAAATAACCTACCGGGGCCCCTGGCTCCCACTTTGGCCCAAAGCCAGATTCAGATCGTCTTGCAAGGCCCGAGTTTCACCGTTTGTTGCTTCTGGCTCGGCGGGACAGCCGACGGAAAACCAATGGCACATGTACCCACGAGGGGCCCTACACGCTGGCTCGGATGTGCCGGTGGAAAAGCGGTGAATCCGGGCTCACTGAAGGACACCCCCCCCAGCCCCCAACCCCCTCCTCCCCCACCCAGGGTCACTATACCCAGAACGCGGAGAGAGATTCTGGATCAAAGACCGTGGGCGGGAAGGGTGCCGCCTTCTTTGCCGTTCAACGTGGAGGACGGCTCGCATCCGCCTCTGACAAAACTGAGTCTCATGCATCGCACGAGTGCACGACACCCTGTGTAAACTCGAATTCCTCGCCTCCTCACGAAAACAACTACACTCGCTTGCTCTTACCATCGCCACACCCTACACCCACTCCCCACCCCCCCCCCCCCCCCATTAACGATACACAAGCGCTTACATTCGTACAAGTGCCCCTGCGCTAACAAACAGATAACACCCGCCCCCCATCACCGGCACGTCCCTTTTCTCCAAAGGTGAAACTAAAGGTAGGAAAAATAGAAAACAAATCAATCGAGCGGCTTCAGCCACGGGCAGCTGGCAAAGAGATTGGAGAGACGACGTGAAATTCAAGACGAGAGCGATGAAGCAGACTACTTTTTTCTTCGTACGAAAAAAGGTGACGATGGTGTTTAGAAAACGGTTTCCGGGGTGTTGGGGCCGAGGGCCCTCGCAGGAAAGTGGGCCGAGCTCAGAGCTTGTGAGGACTGACCCACTTGTAGGTTCCCTCGTAGCGAAACCCCACTCTGCTGAGCAGCTCGTCCGCCTCCTTGGGTCCACGGCTATGTGTGCGTGTGTGTGCGTGTGTGTGCGTGTGTGTGCGTGTGTGTGCGTGTGTAGTTGTGTAGATGTGTGTGTGTGTGCGTGTGTGTACGTGTATGCGTGCAGGTGCGTGTACGTGTGCGTGCAGGTGCGCGCGTGTATGAGTGTGTGTGTTATGTAGGTGTGTGTATAGGTGTGTGCATGTGTGTATAGGTGTGTGTATAGGTGTGTGTGTATAGGTGTGTGTTTGCGCACAGGAAACAAAGCATTAGACCAATGTAAGCCGACACCGGTATTTTAAACCTCTGCGATATACATTTAAAAGATTCAGACGTTTTTAATATAATCTCCAAGTTAACTTTTTAACCGCCTGACAATCCCTTTAATTCACACTACAGCACCTGTTTGCCGGGCATGGCACATGGGGGCGGTGGGTGGCCAGCACCACGCCCGGCCGCATTTGTCCCCCCAGTGGCGATGTTCACACACCGCACCAGCTACTCAATTGAGACCGAGTCGACCTAGGGGAGGCTCAGGACCAGTTCAGAAATTCGTCAGCGGTGTTGGCTGGGTTCGTACAGCAGTGCGCTAAGCATTGCGCCACCGCTCCCCACACACACACAACGATATGCACACGCAGCACGCAAATACATGGTCACGCACGCACCTGCCGTAGTCATAAGGAATGGGTTTGATCTTCTCCTTCTCAATCTTGTCCAGCAGAGGAGTGAATATCCTCCACGCTTCTTTCAGCTCGTCGCTGTCGAACACACGCAATCCGCCCAAACACATACACACGCGCACCTATTCACAAAACACATTCACGTACGAAACGCCGTGCGTCGGTCACCGCCCGCGGTGCTGCGTTACCCCGCTTTGTGCCGACGACACACGAGGGCGTGGAGTGGTGCGAGCGTTACCTGCGCACAAAGTGGATCTGACTCCCGCAGAACACGTCTAGGATGAGGCGCTCGTAAGCATCGGGCAGTTTCACGTCCTGCGCGCACACACACACACACCCACCCCCACACACACAAGTTCGCATGCACACATGTACAAGGATACATACCTCCTATGCACACAGCATGTATCTATGTATGTGTTGAACTTCTTTCGCGCCGTACGTAACTGCACTAATCGGAGGTGCGAGGGAAGGACAACAAATTAATCACAAACATCCTCCACATGACCCAACACACGATCTACACACAATCTAAATACACAACCCACACACATTCCACTGACAAAGATCCCCCCCCGTATTGCCTTCAACAAACTTTTGGGGCAAGTTCTGTTAGAGATCACGTACGAAGGCTGTGCTGGGACATGAGGGGGTGCATGGACAGCACCACGCCCAGCCGCCTTTGTCTCTCCAGTGGAGACGAGGATGGCTAGGTGCACTAGGTACTCTTTTGAGGCCCAGGATCGGTTAAGATAATCGTCACTAGTATTGGCCATGAGCGGGAATGAAACTCGGATCGCTGGGTTTGTAGCTCAGCGTGCCAACCAACGCGCCACCGCTTCCCACATTCACACACGTGCTCACACACACACTCATACTCACTCGCACACACACACAGACTCGCTCGCTCGCTCGCGCACACACACACACACACACTCACGCGGTAGCGGCTGCTGTAAGTGAGGTCAAGCTCCGACTCGTCGGGAGCGAAGTGCATGCCGGGCTTCTTGGTCATCATCTTCATGTAGACTGCTTCGTTGGGCTGCACGCGGATCACCAGCTCGTTGCGCTTGCACTGTCGCTGGAAGATGTCGCCTGGCGCGTCGCGGAACTGCAGCCGCATCTCGGCCTTGCGCTCGTTCAGAGCCTTGCCGCAGCGCAGCACGAACGGAACGCCTGTACGGAGCGGCGAGGGGACAGGCCTCAGGGTCAGAGGTCGCGTGCCGAAGCCAACGCTTACTGTAGCAACAGCGCCAACCAGCACCGACCAATCCCGATCGCCGAAACGTTACCAACCAACGTGAACATGAAAACTTACCCCAAGCATTAACACGGAATTGCCCTTCGCTTCGATTGCCCCGCATAGACGGCAGTGCACGAACACTATCCACAATTACAGAACCCTAGCAGCAGTTGCTTTGCAGCACAGAACCACAGGTCTCACTGCCTTCAACAGAGCCCCAGAGCCAGTGCTCTCTCCTTGGGCCTCTGTGTCGCACTATGAGAATCACAATGCCTTCCCCCCCCCCCTTTGAGCCACGGGAACCTTGCGGCCTTCGATTTTCATTATAGGGCCGTAGGGGCCTCCGTTTGACAATTACAGCAGCACATTCGCGCTTTTTCTTCACGCGCGACACAGTGGGGTTCTTTGTAACTGGTCAGGGCTTTTGACCTCTGCCGTTCTCCACAGGAAGCTTACGAAGCTCCTGCTCTGCCAAGGTGGCGGTTTCTCCATGGGGGGGGGGGGAGGGTCCTATGCTTGCCGCCCGCCGCTCACCGTCCCACCGCTCGTTCTGCACGTAGAGCACCACGGAGGCGAAGGTGGGGGTGACGGAGCCCGCGGGCACCGTGGGGTCGTCCAAGTAGCCGCCCTCCTCGCCGGGACCCGTGCTGCCAGGCCGAGCCACGTACTGACCCAGCACCACGTCCTCCAGCAAGATCTCCGGCACGCACTTGAGCACCTTCACCTGCGCACAGGGATATAGGCACACAAACACACAGGCGTACGGAGATGTATGCACGCAGAGACACAGACGTACGGGGAAAAACCGGATGGACCCGGAGAAAAATCCACGGGACCACGGGGAGAACGTGCAAACTCCTGCATACCAGGCGAGGTAGTTAACATTTCGCAACCGCGGCACGTGATTATGGAAGCTCGTCCCTGTTTTTGTCCACTGCAGAAGCAGCGCCGTGCCACCGAGGTGGCACGCGAGCCAGTGGGCGAGGAGAACGCGACGAGCGACCCACCTTCTCGTTGCGAACGTCGTCCGAGCTCGTGGACGTCGGTTTCTCCATGGCCACCAGGCACAGCATTTGCAGCAGGTGGTTCTGCATCACGTCCCTGCAAGGCGCGGTGGGGGGGGACACAGGGAGGGGGGCGGGGATGCAAAGTGGTGATGCCAAAGGGGATGCAATAGGACACAGGGATTCACCCGGGGGGACGAGGCAGAGGTAACCGGATACATCCAGACGCGAGCAGGCACGGGGTACACGTGGAAACACGTGGGAGACACAGGGGAAAGTAAGGGGATAATGGGGGGGAGGGGGGGGGGAGATGAAAAGGCGACATGGCGGTAGGAGGGAACATGTGGACACATATCTACAAGTGTAAAATAACAAGTCACATCACTTCCCAACAGAAACTGTAATGAAGCCATTAAATCAACACGATTTAAATTATTTAAGCAGAGGATAACATATATTATCTGTTTGATGTTGCGTCTTACCGAAACGATCTTAATCACGCCAGTGAGAGACAAAGACAAATGTGACCCCCCCCCCGCCGTGCATAGCCTATCACAGACTGTTGGGACTTGCACCTTAAAAGCTAAACTATTTTAAAAGATTTTTTTATTTCACCAGGTAAGGCCCACTGAGCTATGCAGCTCTTTTTCAGAAAAGTGACAAATGATAGCTCAACGAAAAAATCCACGTGACCACGGCAAGAGAGACACCGCAAACTCCAAATATACAGCAGGCGTCAGGGTCGGGATCGAACCCACGACCTCCCGTATACCAGGCGAGGTAGTCAACATCTCCTAGCCACCTGATGATGCCGAACTCGTCGAAGTATCCGCCACGCCCCTCTGTGCCGAACGGCTCCTTGAAGGTGATCACCACCGACGCGATGTTGTCCCGGTTCCAAATAGGACCGAAGATCCGGTTCCCAAACCTGCGGCGAGGAGAGCGACTGTGAGCATGTGGACAATCACGCAAAGAAAGAACCAAGAATATTAATCCCTGCAGTCACAAAAGCTTTAAATCGAAATTTACTTACCTGCAGTACCTCTATTTAAATACACTTCGAAAAAATTATTTACACCCCTCTGTCAATCATCGTGTTTCTCAGTGTGGATTTGTGAACACACTTTGTAAACAGTACGTAAAATAGTACGCGTTGTCAATGCGCTGTTCATATTGTAACAAAGTTACTCTACAGAGTAGTGGGTCACCGATCCTCTTATCAGCCTTGATACGAGCGGTATGTGGGGACTATGGCTTAACCGCAAAAAAAGAAAAAACCTATCTGCACAGATGCATACGGATAAGAGAAGCATCAAACAGGAGGAATTAACGGTGCAACGCGATTGTCATCGATTGATGCTGGCTGCAGACATTGTTAGATCACTAATAATAATGAAGATAAGAGAGCAGTTTCACTGTATTATGCATACCGTGATGACAAATACAGGACTTAAGTCGTGCAGGCAGTTTGAGCAGCTTTGGATAAGACTTATGCTCCTGCCTATACCCGAGCACGGAGTGCATTCGCTTGTTCAGCTCTTCTGCGCATTCGTCCTCGCCGCTGCGCTTGGACACGACACGGCAACAGAACGATCCGCGCCAGGTGGGTCGCGGTGTTTATGTGCGCGGTGGGACGGAGTCGCCAAAAAATAAATTAATTGCGATTTTGACTTCCGTATATTCGGGACCCCGGGGTCCCGCCAAAAGGTTCAAATGTATGTTTATAAACACAGCTTCCATGAAACAAGGGGTTGTACTTACGTGCCCATGCTTAATTTGTTTCGATGGTTGACCTACAAAAATCTGGCCATGTCTTGCACCCCCAGGGGGTGTGCGCACCCCAGGTTAAGAACCACTGCTATAGACACCGATGGCATAACAAATACGCTCACAAACACAACAAAAACAGAAACACAACAGCTCGAGGTTACGCCACTGGGGGGGAATGATATGTAATGGTGACGGCTTAGGGAACCCTTCATCCAGCAGTGGATTGATCAAAGATTAATCGATGTATTTATTTAGCCAGGTGACGACAGGGGGTCACACAGGGCGGCGCTCACCTGAGCACCATGAGGTTCTGCACCATCTCCTTGCCCAGGTAGTGGTCGATGCGGTAGATCTGCTCCTCGGAGAACAGCTGCGCCAGGTGTTGCGACAGCTTGTCCGAGCTCTGCAGGTCGCGGCCAAACGGCTTCTCCACGATCACCCGGTTCCAGCCGCTGGCGACGCGCGGGGAGGCGACGACGATCATCGTTACGGTCGTTGTGGTCGTCGCTCCGCATCGAGAGTTCGTCGCACGCCACGTCAACGCAAGCCGGATTTACAAAAGCATCTAAAATGAGGGCGAGGATTTGCATTTTACAAAGGAGCTCCGGCCGGCCAGGTGGCTCAGCGGCAGGGCGAGCAGTTCCCAATCGCAAGGTTGCAGCAAGCTCAACTCCTGGATTGGGAGTTGACGCGGCTCATCAGGCCATCGGTGTCAAAAAATATAGAAACACTTTTTTGGGGAAGTCAACAGCAGTCGCCCTTTGGAGAGACTCGCCCCCATCATAGAAATGTGGAACTTCCACCAGTGGGCTGTAAACTGGAAACGAGCCCTGCCCCTATGCTCAATTCAGCAGAAATTAATAACGTTGACCTTTGTATCTGAACGGAGAGGAATTACTATGAAAACACCCATGGCCCCCACTATGCCTACCATCATCACCGCCCCCAACTCCCTCACCTCCTCCACCACCCACAACATCCCTACCGCCCCCACCGCCCCCACCTCTCTCGCTGCCATCCCCACCGCCCCCACCTCCCTCATAGCCTTCACTGCCCTCACCTCTCCCGCTGCCGCCCCCACCGCCATCCCCACCGCCATCCCCACCGCCATCCCCACCGCCATCCCCACCGCCATCCCCACCGCCATCCCCACCGCCATCCCCACCGCCATCCCCACCGCCATCCCCACCGCCATCCCCCACCGCCATCCCCCACCGCACCGTCCCCACCGCCCACTCACGTGGTGCTCATGCAGGTGGAGCGCACGTTGGATGTGACGGACTCGAAGACGCTGGGCGGCAGCGCGAGGTAGAAGAGGCGGTTAGAGAGGCGGCCGTGGGCGAGCGTGTCCAGCTGGGCGGCGAGCTTCTCGAACGGCTGCCGCACGTCGTACTGGCCCGACACGTAGATGTTGCGGGTGAAGAACTTCTCCAGGGCTTCCTCCTCGCCCGTTCGCACCTGGCTCCAGCGCAGACGCGGCCACACAACGGGCGGACGGGGACGATGAGTCGCAGTTGTTGACTGCTGGGTTAGGCCTCCGATTAAGCACGGTTGGCTACGTATGATGCGAAGCAATCATACTCTTAGGTTTTTTCGGTAAAGTCATTTTTATTATTTATTTTTTAGCTACGTGATTTTACCGAAAAAACCTAAGAGTATGAATCCTTGCAGTCACGAAAGCTTCAAATCTAGATGTGAAGGAAGTTCAACGTACAGATGTACGTACGTAGGCCACAACGATGGTGCAGCCAAATTTCTATTGTTGTTCTAAGAATCTCCACCATCTGACATAGTCAAACAATTTAAAACTAGTCACGTGGTGTACGAGCGTTTAACGCGCCCGGTAGGTTTCAGAACTATTCTTACGGCCAAATTAATCATATTATTTGGGTCTTTCGGTAAAGTCACATAGATAGGCTCAAAGAAAATAACAAAAAACCACGACGTTTTGATCGCAACACAAGCGGTCGTCATCAGGAAAAGGGGGTTAGCCTCTAAAGGCAAACTGTTTATAAAGGTTTAAAATCGGGCGTAGCCCAAGTGTCAGCAGTATGGGTGGGGTAGCTAATGTTAATGTAAGGGAAGTTGCTGCTAGAGGTGATGGTCATTGTTGGTAGTGATGGTGCTGGTGGTTGGGTTTTCACCAATGAAATTAATCAATTAGATATCACGTTTTGCTTCAAGATGGTACGAAGACCTGCGTCTTAAGAGACAATGTTGAATATCCGAGGGGCTTGGCTGGCTCAAAGTTAACAAAAATATAGAATTCTACATTGGCAGGCATACACAAAGTCAAATAACTAAATATCACATTCACCAATAACACTGCCCCAAAGTGGGAACAAAATACAATCAGTCACGTCTTGGACAATGGCCCTTTTCCATGGCAGCGATCGCGAGGCCAGAAAGATCTCTGGCCTCTCACTCCCTAGGTTCTCGTGTGTGGATTTCCCACCTGTCACCACCATCACAGCCACACACGGTACAACGTTCATTATACGCGGGTCTAGGCTGGCTCATCATGGCTTTGTCAGCGATAACGGGGCACAAAGATCCGGTAGGTTCCTGAGTTGGCGTGTAGATTTCACACGTGTGGATTTCGCACACGTATGGATTTCGCACACACCACCACCGCCACCAGGAGCTCGGTTTGGCCAGCAGCTGCATCGGCAAGGTATTGCAGGGCCTGCACCTTCACCTTCGTTCATAAACAAAACATCTGCTTCGAGCGAGGTCGTCCTCTCCTCCCCTGTCCTCCGCCGTGCCCCAGCGGAGGCGGCTTCGTCGTCACCTTCAGGAAGGGCAGGCAGCGCTCACGGATGTCCTTCATGGTGATGGCGGAGCGCGCGTACCCGATCACGTACGTGTCGCTCGGCAGCAGCCCATCCCTGAACAGCCACCTTCATCACACACGCGCGGTCAATTCGAACAACGACGGTTAACGGAGGAAAACTGCATTGCTAAGTGGCGACCAAATCGCCCGCGCATTTGGGAAATCGTATTGGGGTCATTCAAGTAGCCCGGCATGGTTCTGTCCGAAAACATGAATGTTCACACGCTGAGATTTATTCAATAAAAGCAACATGAATACACCAATTTTGGTCCGATGGACCAACTCTTTGTGTATATATATATTTGTAGACCGCATCGCTGATGTAAATGAAAACTTAGTTGTGTTTCTTCTGTGAATTCAGAATGTGGCAAAATAAAGATTTTACCAATCAGTGAGGCCCATTTGCATCTGGTGAGTTTGCTTGCAAGTCCCTGAGTGAAGGGTAGCAAAGGAATGGTGGCCTTAAAAGAGTTGATGTAGACGAAAATCTATTCTGGTTTCATCGATGACTAAATCACCCAGGAATCCACCTGAATCTCATCAGATCTCGGAAGCTGAGTGGAGTTGAGCCTGGATAGTGCTGGGGTGGGTGACCTCCATTGATTTAATTTGACCCGCCCATACTGGATATCTGTGAAAAAGAGCTTCATAGCTCATCGGATTCCTCCTACAGTCTAAATAAAGATTCTGATATTGGCTGCAAGGTTCTGCTTCGTTGTCGGCAGTGTAACAAAATCCATCGTTGTACTGTACTTCTGTGCCCCCCATCCTCCATCCAGTGGATTGATGATCAAGCAATCCATGACATGCCTACCAAAGACACTACAAACGAACACCCAGTTTTAAACCACAAGCAGCCTAAAACCAGATTCAAACCCAGATTCAAACCCAGGTTCTCGGCACTCGCTGGCACATTTGCTCCAGCGCAGACATTACGAGCCCCCCTCCAACGCTCCGGGGGACACGCGCCCACCTCACAAGCAGGACCTCCGGAGATAACGAGGGCATTCGATTAATTGGTGTTAATGTGAGAAAACGCGAGATGACGCGAGGGTGTTACCGTATGAGCCATAATAATCTGAACTAATTAAAGTGTGGCCCCTTTGGTGGATTAAAGGCTAATGTTGATGGATGGAAAATGTGCCTCGTTAAGAGTTTAGCGTACTGGCCGTGTTCGCAGACAATATTTGTGCCCCAGCATCATTTGCTTGCTGCTCGCAACCAATATTGGAAATGAAAAAAATACAATTCATATGTTTGTCTGTATCCGTGCATATTTGACCAAAACTTTAATTTTGAAACAACTTCCGAGACTTAATTGTGAAACGGCTGCTCGAGTTAATGTATTGTTTTAACATTTCATGCCATCTGTTCCAGCCTAACATTTACTCGAATGTCTAAATAAACCCTTCCCCCGAACCTCTAACACTAAGCCTATCAAATAACTCAAACACATAACCTTTCACCACTCCCAATTAACCCCAACACCTAGGCAGTAACCCCGACCACCGAACTATAGCATCTAACCCGAGCGCTTGCCCTGAACCTTGGGGTACACACATGTATGAGGGAGCAAATAAGTCGCCAAAATATCATTTCTGGGGGCACAAATATTTTGGGAGAACCAATATTTATTTAAACCGGCAGGTTACACCATGATGGGCTCAAACGTGATGTCACACTCAAAGGCAGGAGACAATCCACCCCATTGGGAATTTGATTGTCACAATTTGGGGGCCGAAATTCAAATCCACACACTCGATTGCCTTTTTCCCCCAGTTTTTTTTATTACCATTTCATTTTCATTGGTCATATTTGTTTTCTGTTTACAATTTTGTTTGCCCAGATACAATACAAGTAGGTTAACATGGAAAGCTTTCGCACATATGGATTCAATGATTCACGAGTTGCACTGCCACCTATCTGCTAACCACCTCACAGCCCCAGGGCTCTGACAGTTTCACAGATCCACCAACATTGGCCTCCACAGCGCTGCCTGTGCCCCCCGGGCTTGTGACAACTTTCCATGACATTTTTTTTAATGACCAACCCCGCCACACTCGAGTACCCATTTTAATCACGGGTGGCTGAAGCCCCGGATCAAACCCCACATCTCAGCGGCGCTGGCTCGGTTTCGCTGACGCGACCGGACGATGTTATTCTCTCACGCGGGGCACCACTATTATTATTTTAATTTTCTAAAAGCTGACGAGCCAGCCAAAAGGTTTCAACTCACTGCGGCGCACCGAAAGGTCATCCAACCGCCGTGACCCCCCTTCGGCTTGTTGTCAGAGTGCACGATCGCTTGTCGGATGAGCGAGCGCGCCTTTTAATAAATGCAGTGCGTTTGATTGATGACGGTGGAACCCAGGGTTACCTCAGTCAGGTACATTCTAAATAATAACCGATTTGCGGCGACGTCACTCCCTCGCAAAGCTCTTCTGCCGCGCGGTCCCTTCTCTCCAATTCACTTCTCACGACTCCGTCTCAGAGCGGTCCGCCAGCTCCCCACTAATGGGTTACCCCCCCCCCCCATTGCTTGCGTGCATCAGTGCGCCCACTCCTGGCAATTTAACCTAATTGGCCGAGGTGTGGAGGTGATGGGGGTTAATGTGCGAGCCACAGGCAAGTCGAGTCACGCCTGGCACTTTGCACCACTGCTGTCCCATTGAGCAGCTGACTTTCTCCCTTAATAATACATTATAATATATAATTATATATAATCGCCGTACAGGTTTCCTTCGCACTACGCGGGTTCGGTTGGTGCGACTTACGCATTGTAAGTATGCGGCTAACGTATTTACACTCAAAATTCGCTCTGCGCGGTTTGAATCCACTCGGGTGCGGAGGCTATGCGGTCGGACGTGGGACAACATTGTGTGTGTGGTGTACACGCTACTCGGCAGACAGCTGTCTCGTGCGGTGCATTGTGGGTTGGGTGACTGTACGGTCCGTGCTACGTGATCACGCTTTGTGGGCCCTTTTTTTGGAACGAATCTACTCCCGCGGAGAGCGAGGGAAACCTGAATATAATTGCTTAGAGCAAATCGGTTCCTGAATACGCTCCCTGCACGTGGATCAAAACGTCGGGCATCGTGCGCCGCTAACCATAACGCCATTTGCACCTTCCCGGCACGTTATCTGGCATAAACAAATTATGATAAAAACAAAATGCAATCGGGGTTAATCCTCTGACACTGCAGCCGACACAATTTCCATAATGGTAATGCACATCAATTGTGGACTAATAGCTGTGTGTTTTTGCATCCCAGCCAATTAAAGCAATGAATAAATGTCCTCCCGATACAACTGTAGCCTGCTGCCGATTGCAGTCCGGCCACAACCGCTCGCACAAAATGAGGGGTACGTGCTGGGGAGGCCATGGGTTTAAGTGCCGTTGGTTACGGGGGCGCGAGGGATGGGTTTGACCGCACTTCACCACGCCGGTCAGTGCGGGATGGTGAAAGAAAAACACATTCTGTCTCGTCTCCCTTGCCGGGGTTCCCGACCGGAATGGGTGCCCCCTACAAGAGATAGCCACCTCGGGCGCGACCGGCAATGGAGCCTCTTTGCTACGGCGAAGCATGGATCCGATGGCCAAATCAGCCGACATCCAATCTAATCTCATGAGATCTCACGAGCTTGGATGGGTGACCACCATGCACGCGAGGTTATCATAGGCTGGCTGTGGAGTTGTGCGCCAGAGGACCGGTTCAGAAATTACTCGCCACTGATGTGAGCCGTGGACGTATGGTGAACATCTTTCGTACCGTGAAGCTGCCAACCGCGCTAATCGGAGGTGCAATTCGCAGCCTTGGCTGGGAATCGAAACTCAGGTTTCCAGGTGCGGAGTGCAGTGTGCAAACCACTGCACCACTGCTCAACCACACTAGGAAATATTCAACGTGGGAGTAAGCCCACATTAAATCAACGTTCCTCCATTTCAATTACATTATAACAACCTAGGGCAAGGTTGTGGACTCAGTATCCACAAGAATCAAAACACTATCATCTTCCCAGTTGCGCTCAAAGAAGCCATTACAGAAACCGTTTGTGCGGTAATTCACAGCGTAATTATACAACTGGTGTTGCATGTTAATGCATTTTAATGAGCATCATGTGTGTTTTGTACACAATTAACAATGCAATTTGTTGCATACACAGGTATAGGGTTACACTATAGCTCAGTGTAGAGCAGCAGCCCCAGACAAACAGAGAGGTTTGGACCTATAATTAACATCATCAGCAGCAACATTACAATCCCCATCACGATTAGTAGAAACATAATTATCATCAGTACAAAAATCATCATCGGCAGCAAAGGTAGCACTATCTTCATCACAATCATCATCACCATCGTCATCAACAGCAGATCAAAATGTAATCGTACGCATCGCCTCTTCACAGGAGCACGACCTGGTGAGTCCGCTCCACTTTGTACAGGGAAGTCAATGTGCTGCCTCTTGTGGAACTACAAAAAACCTGGACGCACCCTGTCATTGGCACCCACCCAGGTCGTGTGCTGTTCAGGCCTTCATAGGTGCTCACTAACAGCACTTGCCCCAACAATCTCCTAAGGCTATACGGGGGATCTTTGCCTTTGTGTGAGCGCACTTCTCTTCATGTGATACGCCGCTACGGACGGACGGACTCGATGCCGGCACGGAAATGTGGAATTTCTCCAATCGCGTGTGTCGCTCTCCCCTCGATCAGCGTGTTTCCCCAGGCCTCGTCGCGACTCAATTAGAATGGCAGATTCCGCGCGAGGCTCGGGTTTAAATTGCTCGCCCAGGGGAGGGGGGGGGGGCACGCAGCTCAGCCGATTAACCAAAAGCGTCCGTCGACTGCACTTTTTTGGATGTATCGGCGCCTGTATCCGTGTTAACTATTCCGTATAACCGTCTGTGTGTTTGTCTGTTGTTTCATTTCAATGTCCATGCGCGTCTATGTCAGCGATGGTCACATCGATGTCTGTCGATAAATCCAAACTCACCGCGGCACGCCTGCCACGTCGCCGCGGCACACCGACTGCCAAGCACCGTGTTCGGACAACTACCCCCGGAAGCGGATACTGCAGAGGTACGCACGCGAGACCGCATTGATCAGCGCTGAGAAGTACGGACAAAAAATAACGCTACCCCCATGAGCCGCAACGCATGAAGGAGGCCCTCATCCAGCAGTGGATAGACAAAGGCTGTTGCGTGTGTATTATAGAGCGGAGAGTGCCGGTTTGACAACGCGAATCTCACATCCACCACCACCGTGTACAGTTGCAGACTGTGGCCTGTGCGTGCGCACGAGAGAATTACATGGGAAATCCTCTTTGTGAAAGCCAGCAATAAATAATCGGGTCAGGGCCATTTATAACGTGGCCCACATTTCACTGTCGAGTTGCCTGCTTTGGCATCGTGTGACAGTAAGGTTCTGAAAACGTTTCCAGTGAATATGCCCCGAAATCACCCAACTCAAGCACCCAGGCATCATTGTCACCACCAACTCCTCATCCACCGACTCGGCTACTTAATCCACATTCCCACACACTGTCGTCGCCAATTCATTTAGAGACTCACTTGGGCCACACACTCCACCCATCACAGTATCCTTTGAGTCACTCGCTCGTCCACTTTACTCGGCGACTGTATTCACTTCCGTCATCGAATTACTCGCATAAACACACCCAGTGACCCACACTGGACTATTCACCACTCGCTCGCTCACCTATAAACTCACTAATTAACTTAAACCGCAGGCTTTTTCATAGCCAACGCAAGGGTACATTTTTTTTGGTTTGGCCACGGGGAAGGTTTCGTGCCAAAAGTTGTCATTTGACCCCTCAACCACCTCACATTTACAAAGATATTATTTGTATGCGCCTATGTATTAATCATATTCTGACCAATAAAACTCAGCTTAATACTTTAACAATAATAAGAAACAATTGAAATGCCAATTGAAATAGAAGACCAGTGAAATAGATTTATTACAAATTTGCTTGAAATTTTTTTACGCGTAGGCTGTTTGAAACTAATATTATTCACAAAATAGTTTTTGGGTTAGATTGCGTAACTGTGTAATCGGCAGTGAAAAGTCGTGCTCAATTATAAATGTTGTGCAGTGTTCTCTAACACACAACCGGTGTACTCAAACAGTAACTAATCGGCACCCTTTGTTCACGAGACAACCTTACGAACTGACCGTATCAGGTTGGAGGTGGTTGTTTGAAATAATTTGCGTAGTAAAAATGCAAACCTGTCAACCCCTTATCAGTGCCTACCCTATTCACGACCAATTCAGACCTTATTGGTCACCCCTTGCGCTTAGAAATCTCAACGTTCATCTGACAAAGTCCCATCACAAGGGAGAAACACAAACAAATACACTTTTTTTTTTTGCCTGTATTGAAACGTCTGTACGCCATATGGACCTAAAACTCAATTTCCCTGTACAACAATACGAGTAAGCCGTATGGGTTGGCAGCTATGAAAGCGACCAGTCCCATATGACGAGGCTTTGGGACTGGACCCTTGCTTTGGCAGTTGCTGATGTCACACTAAATGCACAGTCGCCCAGACCGATGGCGTTCAAGTAACGCGTTTTAATTGCCAACATTTTTCTCGCGGCGATCAGCTGCTCACGGTGTTTTACATTAAATATAGCCTGGTTGGTCACTGGAACAGTGTCCCGGATAGGATGAGGATACATTGATGGGATTTTAAGTAATTTTTGTTATTAATTTTAGTCGAATATATATTGTTGATCTCTTAACTGTGATTCTTGAATATGCGATTGTTAGTTTTAATGTTAGATGTCTGGGCGAAAAGTGAGCCAAGTTTTTTTGCCCAGTGCTGGCCAGCCGACTCAAAAAACGAACTCAGATTATTTGGCCTCACTTGATTTTCCGTGTCCGTTACCTGATGAAGGGGCGACACGGTGACGAGATGTTAACTCCCTCGCCTGGTATGCAGGTCATGGGTTCGATCACAATCGTGATGCCTGTATATTTGGAGTTTTCATGCTCTGTCCGTGGTGACGTGGGGATCTTTCTCCGGGTCCTCCGCTTTTTCCCTCCACATTTAGAAACACGCTCTTGGAGTATTTGGCTGCTATAAATTTCCACAAGCTAAGCCACTTCGTTGAGCCATATAGTTTAAATAGTTTGAGTAAAACATCGTCGTAAGTTGATGATGAAGTAATTAGTGAAAAGTGTCAAGCCAGAGATGAGGGGCTTTAGCAGTCAGAATCTGATCGATACAATGGCATGGATAAATAATATATTTAAAATTAACAATCTTGTGGGGTGGTGGATGGAGGGTTAATGACGACAATTTTGGCATAAAACTCACAAATTAATGAACTCATGCATCCAGCCACCACTATCATCATCCTCACTCACCCACCCGCTCACTCGCCACAGCACTCACCAGAGTGTCGGATAGATTTTCTTCTTGGCCAGATCTCCCTGTAAGAGATAGAATGAGACAGAAGAGTGCCAAACATTAACACAATTAAAGCCATTCTGACAGTCATAATCGCTTACTCAGAGTGACGCATATACACACACACCCCGCACGCACGCAAATAAAGATGCGCCGATTCAAATTCTTTACTAAATCACAGTCTGATAATTATAACAGCACGAGTCTTTCGCGAAAGACTTCTAAATATGAATCTGTCCACGCCAGGTAGAACATTACTGTGTAGGCTGCTCACACGTCCCACCACACGTCTCTGTTTCCCATTCGACAGAGAGCCGTACAAGAAACACGAAACGTAACAAGGGAAGGGGGGCGCAGAAACCCCGCGGACAAAATCCCTGGGACTCGGGGCTCCTGGGACTTTAACGCGTTCCTTAAACATGAGAATTCCCTCGTGTTGTGGTCGGCCGTTGACCGCACACGAATCAAACACGAGACGTGCCAATCTCCTAAACCCGGTGGGGGCCACGCAATCGGCAGGAGACGGCGCGGTGCGGCGAGTCGGTCTGAACACTTGTTTAAAATATCAATCAATTCGGTAGGCCAATAGCAACAAGAAACTCATTCCAAGATATGTCGATTTCTCACTTGACTACCAACAAATAAAAAAAAACCACACAAATGTTAACGTATTATACGACGAAAATAGTAGCCACGAAAAGCCAGAATAAAGTGAAGTTTACAAACGTAAAAATATGATTATATACGTCCGATAGGCGCAGAATTTATTCACCACCCCCCGATTAGCACGGTTGACCACGTACGGTGCGAAAGAAGTTCCACGTACAAAGATTGTAGAAGTCCCACATAAACCAGAAACCAACGCAGTCTCTGAAATCTTCACTCATAATCGGCTTCACCGACAGTGGGGAAAGCCCAAGCAAGCCACAGCTGAGAATGAAGCCGCGGCTAACACCAAACTCTCTCCCGTTACCCTCTCTCCATCTCTCTCTCGCTCACCGTGGCGCCGAACATCACGAAGACATGGCTCTGGTTGGATGACGATCCCACATGGCACTCGCGTCTCGCCGCGCCGTGCACGGAGCCCATGTGTGGGGGGTCTCACGCCAACTCTCCGCGCAGCAGCACGTGGTCCCCAACGCAGCCACCGCCACCGCTACCGCCCCCCGCCGATTCTCTGTGCGCACGTCTGCCTGCTCGCCGTCTTATGATCACAACTGCTCCTCCTCCTGCTTCTGAGCTCCCCGTCTGGACAGCTGTCACTGGTTTTAGGTGACTCTGCCAGTGAGACCCTCCCTCTGTCTGTGCCGTTGAGGTGTGTGGCGGGGGGAGGGAGTGGTCAATGGTACGCTAAGTGGTGGTGGTGGTGTTCATAGTGGCCGGTGGTGGTGATGATCGTTATTGTGGTCATGATGGTCCTGGTGACGATAATGGTGGTTGTGGTGGTGATGGGGGAGCTGTGCTACGAACCCACTGGGAGCAATACCCGTTAGTGGCTGTTATATAAAAAATCCATAAGAAATGTGATTCAAATTATTCGTACAGTGAAAAAAATCGTGGATGTGCATGTATTATGTAATGCTTTGCAACACGTGTTCGGGTGAGTATTTTATTATTTAATTCGTTCTACAGAAGCCAATGGATAGAAATAATTATTTTAGAATATTTGCAAATATATATTTGTTACAAGAAGTATGTCTCCAAGTTTTGGGGAACACTTTGATCAATTTATTCAGTTTACAAGAGGGCAATAACCTAATAGAAACTCAACTTTATAGTAAAGTTTCGTCAACAATTAATTATTGTTACGAGCGTCGTGTGATGAAGTATTTCATTTGGAATGCTCACAGACCGAATCGGTACAGCCTGCGATCCAGGTTCGATCCCGGACCATGGCTTATGGTCAGGCAATAACTTGAGCAATCCGCACGAACAAGCGTGGTGAAGTATGTTCAACAAACCCCCCCACCCCATGACCCACGTGGCTGGGGACAGGCCTCCAATCCTGAGACGAATAACCGAACGGCGTTTTCGCAATCATTGCTGTCCCCATACGTCAGTCGAATCCAGCTTGTTTAAATTACCAATGTTAAAAACTGATTGACTTGTTTCAAGCCATGCTTTGAGGACAGTGCCACACTGTCCTCCCGCAGGGAGGAGCGATGTCCCGCTTGTCATTGATGGCTCCAAGCAGCTGCGCGTCCGACAGAAATTTTAGTGGCCAGATCTGGACGACAGCCAGTGGTGTGTGTGGGGGGCGAGACCCGTGGCGGCAGGATGTCGACCTGACTGCTGCGGCAGACACACCGGGGTTGTTTGGCCCCGCGATGCGAAATCCCACAGAAATCTTCAGGACCATCAGCAGCAGCAGCAAAACGTGCCTGGGTCTTCCGAATTTCGTGAGTAACGGAGCTGGGAGCGCATTCGCCACGTGAATTATGCCTGCCGAGTCGAACAACAGAACGTGCACAGCGAACGGATGCTTGGACAAAGTTATAAATAGAGCGGCTGCAGCTTAAGGGGGGTGAGGCTGGGGGGGGACTTGCCGGTTTTTTTTCTACAAGAGAGTTGCTGGGGCTAGTGCGAGGCGCGTCGGAAGACGCCGTGGGATCATGTTGCGTCTGGTGAGACGCCGCTTGTAAAGTTCCTTATAAGTTGACAACTTGCCCGCCCGAGGGGGGCACGTGGGCAAGGCGGTGGTGCTGAACGGGCAGCCTCCTGCAATTGCTCACTCGTGCACCGCTGCCCCCGCTACCGAGGCGTGAAATCTTGAGAGAATCTCTGCAGGGAGTTTTGGCCTACTCTTCCACACTGGTTAGACGTCACGGAGCACCGACCTGCCAATCTGTCAACCCTTTGATAGAATGCGTCAGGTTGACCATCGGGTAAGTCCCGAATAGCAACACAACTTGATAACATTGCATTCACATTGGACCACCCAGACGAGAACTGGTATGACTCTCTGTGTTACACACACATGGACAGAGCTAACGTGACACTGCTTTCAACCTCAGTTGGAGAGCAACTAAAAACAAATGTCATCGATTTTTGAATTGCACCGACACCGCTCGTGACAACGGAAAGACAGTCCTTAAAAATCTTTTATATATATATAAAAAGCTATTTTGTGCATTTTTTTTCCAGCTCTGTTGCAATCTCCTGCTGGTTTAATGTCTCTCCATGCCGTGTCAGTTGTGGGGATTGCTTGACTACACTTCACCACGCTGGTCAGTGTGGGCAGGGGGTAGGCGGAGTTCAGGACCAGTTCAGATATCATTCGCCATCTGATGTTAGCCAACGGCTGGGCATCGACCACCGGAATAAAGTCGAGAAATGTCACAACCTTTATTTTTATAGTCCATCAGCATGCGGGCATTCAATACGAATGTTTCGATTTCATGTACTGATGAATATGGTCTATTTGGAAGCAGACCGACTGCCTGAAGGCATCAGGACAATGACATTGGTTAAATTATTTAAAGCAAAAGTGTCTGAAATCTAAATGCCGCCCCCTGCCGATCTGTGCTCCTAAATGCAAATCACCCGGAGCGCCCCTTAGCGGCACAGCGTTATTGTTGTTCAGCGTGTGGAGTGTTGGGCAATGATGGGCTGTGTTGGGTGGATGAGGACCAAACGACAAGACCCAGGGAGATATTAAAGTGCTTTTATCACCGATCAGCTTTCCCCATCCTTGGCTCGGCAATATCAGGGTTAGTATCATTTAGGGTGACTGGCCGAGGCTCAAATGTAAAGGAGAAATGTGACGACCACAGTTTGGCTTGACCACCACTGAGAAAGAAACTGGGGTGAGAATGCGGTTCGATTCAAGTCTTACCCGTTTCTTTTCTCCAGTTTTATCTCCATTCTGCTATCGTTCTCCTGCCATGAAACTCAAATCGCGGGGTTCATACTGCAACGTACAAACTGCCCTTATTCATATCCACATTCTCTTGACATGCAAGTATATTGTTCTATTAAGCCTTCAGACAGTAGGCATAATTCCTGTTAGCAAACTACTTATCTATGTATACACACACAATGGTAGCACAATTGTAAGCGCACCTGGCAAGTGATATCCAAACCGGTCCTAGGTACCCCCTTTAGTCAACCCACAATCTCCAGCACAGGAAGTACGGTCTATTGACCATACATGCCTACACAAAGCCTACACTACCCACGACGGTGATGTGGAATTTTCACGATCGGGCTAAGGGTTTTAAACAGAGATGAAAGTGCCCCAAGTTTCTTGAAAATAGCGTGACTTTGAAAAATTGTGCAAAGTCATTGAGTAAAGGGGTAATGTTCAATAGCAGTGTGGCTGCACTGTGAGGATGTATCCTGTTGGCTCGAGGGGCTAAGAGGGCTCAGAGCGAGAGAGTAGAAAGCTGGTACACCAATGAGGTCCTGGATTAAAATCTGGGATTCGGCCACTTACAATTAAGTGAGGTTATGGTCTCAGCCTGGTCACCAATTACTGCACCAAAGACCACGTCGCACAGCAAGTCTGCTTCGGGCCAGCGGGAGCTCTCCACTAAACCATTTGACATTGTAGTTGAGGGTTCAATCCCAACTACAACAGGCTGTGGAGTGACCTCTTTAGGTGATAATAAATACAAGTAAAGCCATTCTCCATACACTGCTGGATGAAGGCCTCTGCACATCATGTCAGTCACGAATTGTTTTTCCTCTCCAATGTCGGTCATGGGAGGGCCGGTTCTGATACAACTCACCACTGATGTTACCTGTGGCCGGGAATTGAACTTGGGTTTCCAGGTTCGTCGTGAAGTGCGTTATCAAGTGCCATGGGTCCACCCCCGTGTAATTTGATTAGTGCGTAAAGTAAAACAATCACTCGATCTATAACAGGCACACTGTGCACTCAGGAGAGCCTCCCCATGATGTGCAAGTGCTCATCCAGCAGTGGATTGACAAGAGCTGTGCATGCATTAAAAATGTAATGCAGAAACGCATGGACTAGTAATGTGCACCCTCTGCTGGACAGTAGGCGGTAAAGACGTTACAACAGGGGGACATTACGTGCTGTAACAGGTGTCGCATGCGTAACTCCCTAAGTTGCAAAATCGAGTCTATAAACTGAAACGGTAATTTTAATCGTCTTTATTTAACCATTATTAGTCTTGTGTCTTGTGCAATAAATTATAAAAATGTTATTCGTCGAATGGCATTATTGTGTGTTTGTGTGTTTACAAGCACATTATTTTAGTCAATCCACTCCAGAATGATGGTTCCTCCAAGCGCCACATGGGTCATGGGAGTTATTTTCCCACGTCGCCACGCTGGTCAATGCGGGTTAATTAAGCATGTTCTAAAGTGGTGGACATTCCTCGCCGTGAGCATACGGGTCGGAAAACGAACACCGACACAACGGAAAGCAATCTGAAAAACTGCGGTAGCGTGAAGAATGAAAAATACACGCTCGGAATGACGGTGCGAGGAGGAGGGAAACGTGGACTTCGAGAGCACATGGAAATTGGGTAGACGAGGCTGACGGTTACCACGAAACATTCAGTGGGCTTTGGGCAGGAGCGCATTGCAAGAAGGGATGATGGCCGATGGTCTGAAGGCAGCCATAGTGTGGAACAACATGCCCCACAGTACACAGCACCACTGGACAACACGGAGCGATGGGATCGGCTCGTGTGCGGGCGATGCGTTGCGACATGGCAGGGACAGTGATGAATGACGGCAGCATGGGCAGGCCTTCATGCAGCAGTGGATAGACCGTGGCAGCCAATGGCTAAGCCTTTCACATAAAGACAAACACCGATTTGACAATTGCGTCTATATTGCCGCACCCTAACAGAGGGTTGTGGACCTACGTGGGAAATCGTCGGCATTGGTTCAAGCAAAATTGTCTCTGCTCACAAGACACTGCATGTCAAAACCGGTCCACAGTTAGCGTGTGTTGAACCAATGTTGCTTAAATGATGTACTCCCAGAAGGTCATGTGGCTGCTCGGGATGTGTAAAAAACTTTTGTGGAGTGAGGCATCTTTGTCTGCTTATTTATTTTGAACCTAGGTAACAATAACCAGACGCTGTCTCTTTCGTGCATCGTCTTAGACAACCCACGCGCCATATAGATTTCGTTAAGTGCCACTAGGCATTGATACAAGAGGACTCCGAATCGGTATCGACACACCAGTTGCCTCATCAGCACATATTGTCTGCCTACTTATTTGATTTACGACTGCAACAAAGATATGAACTGGGTAGCACCGGTACCATCGCAGAACGCCCATTAAAGAGCCTCAACTTATTGGGCCCTTCCTGATGAAATAAATAAAATCTATCTAAATCTACGTATGCATACTGTTACTTATGGTCTCCACAACGACGTGAATTATGAATACGAACCTATGTAGCTCGGTTGTTAGCCGAGTGCACTGACCACGAGGTTACAACACTGAGCCACAAAGGTGGGTACTTGTAAATACGGCACTGTTTGAGCAAGCCATGGGTTTATTGCAATCATTGCTTGCCAAGTTTAACAACTTGTTTAAAAATTAACCGAGTTGCGTTATTAATCCCAACGAGATTTACACCATCGGATTTAATTAAAGATTATCTCACCACGTAAATAATGCCGCATATATTATGCACAACCAAACAGAGATTTAGATATCTGCTATGAAAACACACAATAGACATCGCTCTCCAAACCAAAAAAAAGGGCCATCGCCCCTTTTAGTGTCGTGTCCTTAAAACGAAGGTGTTGAGCTTTGTGTTGTAATTTTCCAATGCAGCAACACAAAATATGGATAGCGCATTACATATTTATAATGCCCCAAACGGGGCTTTGAACCCAGGCCCTCCGCTCGGTGATGGTGGCGGCGAGGCGGTATAAACACATTCCTGCGGAGGGAGCTGGTAGGAAGGAAGTTGGGTTGCTCGGTCAATGGCCAGGGTCAACGGCGGCGTGGTGTATTCCGCAAATATGGCCGACTGTGAGGGCGGGCATAAGCCGGTGTGAGTAGGTTAAACGTTGAGTTTTATAAGGGCACCACGGGGTGACCAGCCCCTCCCCACCCAGCCCCACCCTCCCCACCCAGCCCCTCCCTGCACGACGGACGGACACAATAATCCCTTGTGGGCTGGTGTAACCAGGAGGTTCCTACCAGTATCAGCATTACCATAATACACTGAGCACACACAGTGTGGACCAAAGTATACAACGACAAGACTGGTTCCTCCTTCACAGCACTGCTGTAATAAGGTTACGCAATATTTACTTCATGCAAATTATGTGATGGGCACTAGAACACAAAGTCCAAACTCGCCCATATCCTGATGCGAAAGAAACCGCAATGCAAACTTTCTCTGATAGTTCGTGCCCTTTCAGAATCAGAATATTTATTTATAGTGCAGGGGGAATACGATGAGCTCTAAAGCTCCTTTTCGCAGATGTCCAGTAGGGGCGTGTCAGAAAGTTACACCAGCGAACAATACGATAGGAGTGCAGAGTATAGGAAAGGGATGCAAATCACAGAATAAAACTATACTTTTTAAATTTATTTTACCGGGTAAAGCCCATTGAGCCATTGCTGTTGCAGGTCCTGCACCTTTACCACAAGGTGAATAATCAATGTAGAATATAGTCCACAGGCCAGGGCAGATATTGGTGCAACGTAGGGTCGCAAAAGTTTAGTGGTTACAATTAATTTACAAGGCTAATACGAGTAAATTATTTCTGAACACACTCTTTGCACAATGCACTGTTATTGCCCACATAAAGACAATGACCCCACACTAGTTACTACCGACAAGTCACACATCTCGCTTGGGCTTATGGACTGAGATTTGTAATGATATATTGTACGTATACGAAGTGAACAAACAGGTTATCAATTTAACCAACCAAAAACATCGTAGGACTTTAGAATAAGGCGCGATTAAATGGCAATTCCGTAAATACAAATATTGACGAGCTCCGTTCAACCTTTTAAAACGTTCAGAGTAAACGCCTCATTGGAAGCCCCCAAACATCCCACCTCCTCCTCTAAGACAGTGGGTGTGTAAACACCATAAACAACATCAGAACATCACCAAATGGGAAACTTAAAGACACCAACCCATAATGATTATAATCCAGCATCTGATCTCTGTATATTTGGAGTTTGCGTGCCGCTCTCCCCGTGGCCGCGTGGATTTTTCTCCGGGTCCTCCGGTTTTCCCCTCCACATTTAGAATCAACATGTGTTTAAAGTAGTTGGCTGCTCTAAACTTACACGTGATAAACCACTTCTTTGGGCTATCAATTGCGGCCAGGTCGCTTCTGAAAAAGCTATATATAGCTCAAGTGGGCCTTACCTGGTAAACTAAAAATAGTTTATCTTTATAGAACCGTAGATTAGAGCCAATGTAGTCTGCGCTCTTTCAAGGGATTATGAAGAACAGCGAACTCTGCAGGAATCTTTCAATCCCTGAAGCCCTCTCCCCCTGGACAATTGACACTAACTCTGTGCAGGCATCACGCGCAGAGATTAGTTGGCGATGCCAAGCTGTGGCGACCGCGTTATTTCAGAGTTTAGAGGCTTCTCTATTGGCAATACAATATTGAGTAGAACTAATGAAACTAAAACAATACGTACAATTAAATAGAGTATATGCAGCATCACAGCTTGTGCCGTGTGCGATACACGCACGGAAATGTGTGCGCGTGCAAATGCACATGAGTTTATTCATTTGTGATGTTAGGAATAGGGCACATGGCAAATTTATCTTTTAAAGTGAATACTTTAAAAGGGTAAAGGAGCAGCCTATAATTGCTGGCCCACACCAGTGTTGGCGGATGGGGCCTCCACTATTGGGCACTCTGGAGGGCCCATTCTTCCATGCCATTCGGGACGTCTGTACAAGAAAAAAGTACTGCAACAGTAATTTTAACAACTAAGCCACCGTTACACATCATCAGGTCGAGTGAAATGTGGAGTAAAGTGTGGGAAGCTTACCAAGTGACACGTCTGGTTAACAACTTCTTGGAAGAGTAGGCCAAAACAACACGTGTACATCGTAAACTAAACCTATGACATCTCTCAGTAGCGAGTGGGTTGCAGCGACAGTTTTTAGATTTTTAATTGACCAGATAAGGCCCATGAAGCTGTAATAGCTGTTTTTAGAAGCGACTATAGCTCAACGAAAAGTGGCTTATCAAGTGATCGTGCGGCTTAGCCGCCAAACAGCACGCAGATCCTCGGCATCGGCACGAGCCAAGCAGTTGCAGGGGCTGCGCCTTCCAACGTCGTCAAGACTCCTCGTTAAACTCTCGCCTCTAACATCATCATCATCATCCTCCTCCTTGCCAACATCATCATCATCATCCTCATTCACTCACACGCTCCACGGACCGCGGGCTTTTGTTGCGACAGGAACTCCGCACGACATTCGCGTGTGTATACTGCGTAGATATTAAACATGAATCGAGACATCACCAAACGCGAAAATAAAATGAACGTGGAAACGAACCGAGGCGCCCAGGACAACGAAAAAATGTGTCTCCTTCTCGTGGAAATCCTCGTCGTCTCGGAGCTCCTGCCGCAGGAGGTCCATCACGTCCGCTTGGGACAGGTGCTGATGACGGTTGTTCATCGCTCCAAACCCCGTTATCGATCTGTTCCGAACTAAGAAATAAACCAAATAGAAAACGACGCAAAAACCCCAAGAATACCGCGCAACCAGCCCGAAGCCAAACACTTCCTCATCAACCAGAGCGCGAGGCGCGGGTGCCTTTAAGTAGTGCGCATGCCCCGCCCACAATTTCCGCCTCGTCCAATCGCGGCCGAGCTCTCATTGGCGCGAAACCGACGCCGCAATGAGACGCGCGCGGTGATTGGACGAACACAAAAATGGCCCCGGTCCCTTTAAATAACAGCCCCCCCCCCACAACTACCTGGCGCCCGCCACCCTCCCCCCCGCTTTCCCTGACTTATTAATATTCATGAGACGTTATCCAATCAGAGTCGAGCTTTTATAAACGCGAGTCCAGGCTGCGATGAGACGCGCGTATCGATTGGATGACAATATTGATCCCACCTCAACACTCCCCCCCGTATTTTCCACATTCCCTCTTTTACGAGCTGCGTTAATATTCATGAAGCGTTGTCCAATCACGAGCGAGCTTCCGTCGACGTGCCCCCACGCTCGTTTGCCATTGGCTCGTGGCTCTCTCCGAGGGCGTGGCCACGAGAGCTTGTCCAATCAGATGTCTCCGCGGTGACGTCACGCCCACGAGCGCGCCACGTGCGCTTGGCCCACAGCGGCTGCAACGTTGGCGGGGAGCGGTGGCGCAACCTGCCGAGTTCGATTCCCGCTCACGGTCAACGCCGGTGACTATTATCTGAACCGGTCTTGGGCCTCTCCCTAGGTCGACTCAGCCTAAAATGGGTATCTGGTGCGGTGTGTGAACGTCGCCACGAGGGAGACAAAGGTGGCCGGGCGTGGTACTGGCCGCTTGGTGGTGTGCCCTGCCGGCCTTGGTAGGTTACTCACTCACAGCATTTGCCCCAAAAGTATGTTGATTCCATACGGAGGACCTTTATCTTTGTAATGTTATAAATTATGCGGTGTTGCGAAATGGCTAATCAAAGCTCTCTTTTATGTTTTGGTCCAGTCATGCCGTGTCAGCGCCGCACTCGCGACAATAAACAATTGAACAGCTGACTCACAAGAATTAAGCCGAGCGTTGCCTAAGGCAGTGTGTTGTGTAATGTGAGGTCAGGTGTGGGTGTATAGACACACTCGCACACTAGAGACCACCTGCATTGTAACAGGGTGGTTCACATGTCCCGTGACCCGCCATTTCATTCGCTCAAACTTTTTCTAAAGTCAGGTTTATTTAAAATAGAAAAGGAACAAAAGTGTTAGGGTTAAACTAATTGCAGTCACATCTAGACCACTCTAGATTGGAACAGAGCAGGACCCTTTGTAGGCCATGCGTCGTATCAGAATTTGGTCATATATAATGGTAGCAAGCACATTAGTAACAGATTATAGGGTTAATAAAGTGTGAATTATTCATTTCTAAACAATTGCCGTCGTTGGCCACACAACGAACTTGGAACCGCAATTGACACCCCTCCCATTGCTGCCGACAAGTGAAATATCTCAATTGGCCTTAACGGACTTATAACGCCCATTTAAAGCGACCTTAATGTGCCTTTATAGTATTGGCTGCGAAAAAATTCCTACATAAGCCACTTAATTGGGCTATCATTTGTGGCCTGGTCGCTTTCTGAAAAAAGCTACATACACTTGAGCTAAGTAGGACTTACCTGGTGAAATAAAAAAGTGACAAATTAATACAATTTCAACGAATTAAAATGTATTTGTACTATAGAACTCTTTGTCAGAAGCGACCTGGCCACAAATGACAGCTCAACGAATGTATTGCAGCCAAATATTCTAAACCTATGTTTCTTAACGTGGAGGGAAAAACCGGATGACCAGGAGAAAAATCCACGCGACCACGGGGAGAACATGCAAACTCCAAATATACAGCAAGCGTCATGGTCGGGATCAAACCCACGACCTCCTGCAAACCAGGCGAGGTAGTTAACATCTTGCCACCATGTTACATCCCTGACAAGAGAATTGAAATGAGAAGTTTTGCTTCAAACCACAGTGCCACTTTGCCGTGACGAATGACTGTAATGATTTCAATAAAACACATCCTGATTCCAATGTAAGATATTGGTCATTTATTTGCACATCACATTTGTCCCAAATCACAGCATACATCATACATGACGGTATAGTTTCGACACCTCGGTAATTAGTACATTAAGACATCATGAACACATTGATTACCATTTTTTGGGATGAGTAATATTTCAAATAAGAAAACAAAGCACCCGTACCCGGGACAGCGAAACATCTTCACTCATGTAAACAAGGCCATTCGGATTGACTCTTTGGCAGACAGATGCCAGATGATTCCAACCCAGGTCTTTTAGAGAACACGTCCATGACGGGCATTCCATCACCTCTGAGACGATTCAATTTGTGCAAATGTTTTGTTAAACGTTAATTTGACTTTGGCTCTCCCATCCCAAGTTGTCAAGCGTGCGTGCCCAATCGCAAAAGTGTGCAAACTGAAAGTTGTTTCACCAACGCAACCAAATAACCCCCAACATATCTCCCGTTTTGTTTTATGTTCAATGTTGCTTGGTTCAGACAAACCTCTGTCCTAAGGCAGCGTGGTTCCCAACCTGCAGTACGTGAACCCCAAGAGGTACATGCTCCATCTCCAGGGAGTACGCGGGACAAATCAATCACAACGGCGGTGGTTACGTGGGGAACGAGGATGCAAGTGGTCACCAAACAGTGCTTCGTTAAATTACAAATAAGAAAAATTACAAATATTTTGTATTTAATTGCCAAATTTGGTTGTGAGAATTGTTATTCAGGTTAATAAAGAGCTGAAACAATTAAGTGGTGCGTTAAAACGCTTGCACCACGTGACAATTTAATGTTTGGCTACGTCAGGTGGTGGAGGGTCTTATGACACACTCGGCCAGATTATTACGTGGCCTACCCCCCCCCCCCCAAAAAAAAATGCAATAATGAATGAATTATTTTGCCAATTTCGCTTTACGATCCGGCCTGCATTCCCCAACATCGAAATACATCACCGAACATGTTAGAAATCAAAAGCGTAGGCGGGCACGGGGACATTGCAATGTTGTACCCGGGAGTCGTGGCCCGCCGCCCAACGTCACGTGGCTAGCTCCAGTGGTGGACTCAGCCAATCACAGACGCCACACGTGTTGCTGGACCCAACTTGCATTGCCCATCAACTCAAGCTTCTGGGAGAAATCGGACCAACTCGGGCGCACTTGGGTCAACTCGAGTTGGCCGTCCACGGACACCAAACTGAAATTAAAAGTCAACTGAAAGTCTACGTTAAAAAAAGTACAAATTATATTACAGTAAAACGCTTGATGGCATCTTAAGAGAAATCCGTACGTTAGTTTACGAGCACATTCATCTTTCACTGAAGAAAATTGCCACTCCGATCTGGAGACCTCTACACATATATATTTGAAACATGGGCCTGCGACCGCATATTAAAAGTACCATATACATAGTCGTTAAGTGTATTTTCCAATATAGCCACAGCAAACATCAATACACTTAATCACTTACACGATTCATATTTAAGACTGGGCTTCAAAACAAGCCTAATACGTTTGCTCCCAAAACGTTTTCACCGCCCGTCATCGTATGTCTCAGACTAATTTATGTGCTTAATATATTTTTAAAGCACACATACATAGAGGTCTAATTAGCCAAAGGGACTTATAACGAGTGCTGTTAGCGAGCGCCTATTCATGCCGGCACTGCGTATGACACGTTTGGTGGAATCAGTACCACGCACACACACAGCCGCCTTTGCCTCCCCAATGCAATGTATACGTCACATTGTGCCAGATGCTTGTATCAGGCCGAGTGAACCTAGGGGGAGGCCGATGCCACGTTAGCATTCCAATTGCCGGAAGTGCATGGCCTGGATTGTAATCGGGATCAATGTGATCAGAGAGAAGTTTGTGAACCCTGGCCCGTCACCAAAACACCACGCGTACCCACGCACACATATACACTGCGATTGGACGTGTACCTTAAACAATATACATTTATAAACAGTTAAGTATTACCCATCGATGGCTGTGGACAATGTTTTTTGGCACAGTTGTTAATGAGAAAGTCACGATAAAAAAAGTGCAAAGGTTATTAAAAAAAGATTACGAGACAGACGGACCAAGCACTCTGCATTAACTAACTGTTCATTACACTCCCCCCCCCCCCCGTAGCTCACAACAGGAGCAGTTGCCAAGAACCTATTAAGGCTGGCAGGTGACAGAGGCCTGCACCATAGATGCCTGGCCGCCTTTGTCTCCCCAGTGTTTGCTATTCAAGCCTACGCCGTTATGCCCAGGCTGCCGTTGAAAGAAAGAGAAAAAGTATCATTTATTTTAAGGGGCCAATATTTCATCTCGTGCTTAAATAAAGGATATCACTGTTTTACCACAACAAGGGAGGCACTGGCCAGATTCAGATAACAGCAATTGTCACTGGCAATATAGATACAGGAATCAATGGCCAGGAATCAATCCCGGTTTGCTGGAATTGTAGCACAGAGTGCTTGCTAATCACTGCGCCGCCACTCTTACGTAGTAAGCACACACAAAGATCGACGATAACCGTGGACAGTCGGGGCCAGTGCCATTAGCGGAGCACTTATTAAGGCTGGCGCGGACACAGCGCTGCGCGGACACAAGCGGTCGGCACCACGCACGCCCGACCACCTTCGTCTCGACAGCGCTGATCTTCATGACCATAGCGCTCTCGCCGCACACGCAGGGAACGCAATAGATAATTTTTGGCTGAGCCAATCTAGGGGAGGTCCAAGCACCTGGCTATTTTAGCTATTTTAAGTGGTGACGGGCATTACCGTCACCAGTTAAAATAGGCAAGGTTCAGAGTTCAGACGAATCAGAATATACTGGAGGCATCCGATGAGCGAGAAAGCTATTTTTCAGATGTTCAATATGGGCGGGTCAGAAGGTTACACAGGTCGTGGGTAGCCTCAGCTCATCATCTTCACAGGGATTTGAAAAACAATACCACTGTGGGGAATCAACAATGGTTGTTCCAAGGAAATACTCGCTCCTGGCATAGGAATGGTGAATTTCCACCGGTGCTTTAGAGCCGGAGTGTGAAGACTTTTATTGTAGGTGCCACATCCAGGAATCAAACCTAGGTTCATGAGGTCAATTGGCAGAAGCCGACAGACATGACACCACATCACACCACATCATACGAGCACAGGAGCTGGCACTTATTCCATCCCGACCCTGGCAGCCAACTCGGCTCGTCCATCAATAAAACATCCGTGGAAGCCGCAGATCCCATGTTCTTTTAAAAAAGAAAAATACAATGCATTAACCCACAACGCGCAACATTATACCGATGCATTTATAAACGGCAAATCCAGCGCACATTTTCACACATGCATAAAAAATGTACACTGCATAACAATGCTGTCCTCATGTAGAATCATTGTAAGTATCTGCGAAAATGGTTCACCGAAAAATAAAACGGAGGCTCTCTCTATGGACTGGGTTGCCTCGCTTGTTCGTAATTTGCAATCTTTTTCGCAATTGCTGGATTACTGAATGTGCGCACTGCGTGATAGAAAGGAGGAAATCGGACGATGGCGGCAGTCGCCGACGACGCTGGTGTCGAGTGACCGTTTCAAATGGGCTTTTTGTCAATTACGATTTTGCAAGCAGTGGTTAGTGCCAGGCTGTTGCGTACAATTCCACCACAGATACACAAATGCTTTTATTCATGAACCCAGCGACCGCAGCAAATTTAGATGCACGCCAATTAATCTGTATGGGAGGTGGGGCTGGCTGGTGTGGGGAGACAGGCCATATCACCGATGCCCGTGTGAGCACAATGAACCACCACTTGAACTGCACATGTGCACGTGTACATGTGCACATGTGGACGTGTACATGTGCACATGTGGACGTGTACATGTGCAGCCGTTCGTCAACGCAATGCTGGAGGGGCATCCCCATGCTATGTGGGTCTTGGGGAGTTATTTGACCATACTTCACCATGCTGGTCAGTCAGGGTTTGGCAACATGGGGGGCTTAGGGAGGAGGGGGGTGGGGTACTGACCTGGCATCGAAGTATGGTAAAGCAACTGGTAACAATACACTAAAACTTTGCTCATCGCGTGATTTCCCTTCGCGGATTTGACCTATCGAGGGTGCGTTATGCATCGTAAAGAAGTACTGTACTTTATAACTGCTCGCAATGATGCTGCCGTAGAAGAATACACATGCCATCATCATCATCATCAGCAATAGCAAGCAAAAGTACGTCGTACTTTTTTGTACTGCATATTTACTGCACATGTCATTAACTCTTATCTTTATTTTGAGGTATTTTTTTCGTGTGTACAGTACACTGCTGTACACTACATTAATTAGTATAATTCTGTACATTTTACTGTACAAATTATATTTGGCACTCGTTTCATGTTTATAATCGGAAAGGAGCGGGTGTTGTATCACGAACCGTGCACCAAACCATATTTTTTCAATTGGCCTTTAAAGTGTGCGGATCGTGGGTTTGCCAATTGCGACTATTTCGAATAATGTAACCCCCCCCACCCCCGCGATGGGCAATGTTTTGGCGTACATGGTGTCAAACCACGTGGCAATCATACGAACCACACCGGTTTTAGGAACTGTGCATTCAAATTGATCAACTTTCTTTCCAGAAGAACTTTTCACAGGAACACAGAGTTTCACAAACTCCAGTCCTCGCGACTCCTCACTACGCTCCGTCTTTCCCCGTTCATAAATTTACTGCTCCCATCCAAATGAACTCGTTCTACGCCGCACGCACCTGATGATTGTTAAAGCATGTCCCAGGTGACGCGCTAAGATATGAAGCTGTAACACGTGACGCAGACACGTGCACACCGCAAGCACGGAACCCGTGTACTCACACACGTGTAACACGTGTACGCGCACACGTGGAACCCGTGTACGCGCACACGTGTAACACGTGTACACGCACACGTGCAACACGTGTACACGCACACGTGCAACACGTGTACACGCACACGTGCAACACGTGTACGCCGCACACACATATCTCAATGTAACTGCTTAGCGCGTCACGTGGGTCGTGTTTAACAATCATTGGGCGCTTGCAGAGTGGGCACAAGTTCGCTTGAGTGGGATGAGCAACTTGGTGAACGCGGAAAGACATGGGGGTGGGTTGCGAGGATTTGAGTTGGAGAAACCCTGCGATCGACCCCGATTTTTTCAGATACCTGATCCACGTTGTGAAATCAGACACAAATTTATACTTTAAATCATCGAACGACCGAATGAACGAGCTCATGCAATAGACTTGCCGTCGCCGCCACCACCACCAGCACCACCACCACCACCGGTACGACATTGTGAGTGCACATACCATCGTGGCCCCGTGCGATACATCGCCGGTCCGTGAACATTGATCAGGAAACATCGTGGGGCCAGCCGACGTCACCTTGCTTTTGGTACACACGCACGTTGCACGTACACACACACACATACACGCAATGTCACATCAGGAAATAATCTTCCTCTTGCTGCGCCTCCCACCCCTGTGTTTGATGATTGTTACTAATAGAGGATGCTGCTGCTGCTGCCATTGTGCAACGGTTAGCACACTGGGACTTGCGACGCAGAGGTCGCCTGGTTCAATATCCCGGGAGCGTTTCTCAAATCCGCCGCCCTCCTCATCCCGCACCTCTGTCCACCCAGCAGTAGGAATGGGTGCAACCACAGCAAGTCGGTGGGCAAGTGTCACGTCTGGTGGGGGGTAAAGCGTGGGGGAGACTCCCCACCTCTTTCTCAAGACGCCTGGCCAGTGCCAGCCAGACGGCATCAATCATGTCACCCCACCAGGCAGCCCCAGAAGAGGGGACCAGAAGTGGAGATCACGGCGCTACTATTCTAGTGGTGCCCACAAGAATAGGCCTCTCGCCCAAACACTCGAGGGGGGGGCACACTCCCTCACGATCTCTGCAGAGTGGTTCGGCGGGGTGGCAATCAACCGAGGATATTGAAAATCTGAGCTGGGCTGGGTGGAATTAAAACTAAATGTAACATCGCAGGGTTTTTTTTTGTGTGTGGGTGTGTGTGCAGTTATTGGTGGCTGGGCTGAGACCATCAGCTCGCTAGGCCTGAGAAGTCCCGTTTCGTCAAGGGCGGCTGAAACCAGGGGTCACCACCAGGCCATCTCAAATATGGATTTTTAAATAACGGTATGATTGTTAGAATTGCCTCTACACAGAACTGGAAATGTTGCAGTCCCTCAGCCTCTCAACTTCCCAGAGCGATATTAGCCACCGGCTTCTGTTTCAGGATGCACACTGTGAGGACCAGCGTCAACTTTCTGGGTCCCATCGCCAGTCAGGCTTGTCAAACAAATCCTGCCAGATTACCAGGCGTTATTGGCAAGAGCACTGCACATAAACTATGGGACCCATTTGAGCGCACAACAAAAACAGTTTGTGTGTTTTAGAGTGTGTACTTTCTTATTTGTGAACAAAGTTATTTTCTGTTAAACATGATCGCACATGTACAACGTGGAAACGCTACTACGTAAAGCCCAACTCTTTTTTTTCATCCACGCATGATGTGTACAAGGCTCTGGTAATAATGTACAAAGATTCTAAGAACATCAATATAATCACAGCAGCATCTGTATATATACTACACAGCACATCATTTACCTATCACACACCAATTCAAGGCTATATAGATCATCTCACATGAATGTAAACACCGTTCCAACACTGTGAGCATATCGATCTGTTAACAGTACTCGTGTTGTATACATTGTGCCACGTATTTGTACATTCTTGGGTTCAATGCTAATTTCCGCCCGTTTCTCGCCCTCGCATTGTTCGCTCGCGTACGGTATCGACAGTTCAATCAAAGTTGTGCTATTATATTATTGGAGTCGTGACATTAGGCAAATAGATGTTCCTCAGTTAAGGTAAAATATTTATGGAAAGGGTCAACTGGACAACATGGGGAGCTGGAGGCCCCTCCCTCTGCCCGCCCACTCCTCACTGGCCCCGCCCACCCCTTTACTAAACCCACCCACTACTCACGAAGCCCTCCCATTATTCTTAATGGATTTTTTGGGTGAGATAGTAAATATTTGTCGTTAAACCCGCCACCACCCAACACAGCCGATTAGAAAGGGTTGTCACGTAGACAAAACATACAATTCGTTACTAGTACAGTGTGTTGGAGAGTAAACCCACAACATTTCCATCATCAGGATTTTGCCTGATGATGTAAATGTTGTAATTACTGGCGAAACGTCGTACTCGAATTGAAAACGTCGTAACGAATTGCCATGTTTTGTTTACGTGACAAACCTTGCTAATTGGCTGTGTCGGGTTGTGGCAGGTTTAACGACACTTTCATATTTACGCGATCAAACCCAAAAAAACCTCTCTTATGGACATTGATCGCGAAAGTCGACATGTTAAAGCCCTACCCCCCATTGCCTGCATCATGAGCCAAGCTTGAAACGGGAACACCGATTTTTTTTGTTGCAAATCAGGGTAAGGTTATCAACCACAGCCCATAGCATCTACAACGTCCTTCCAAGTGCCCGTCCTATTTCCACATCTGCCGTAACACTGAAATAAAGTTATGACAGAAATTTCCTTGGTGCGTTCACCCCCTCGCAGTGCCGTCAGCATATTTGCTTTTCTTCGACTCGGATGTTATTGTGAGTGGGGAGGGGGCGGCAACTTCTGCCTCCAGAAACATTGTACAAGTGCAGCTGATGATCAAATACTGGGGGGGGGGCAGGGGGCCACCAGTGCAAGTAAGCGACTTGTACAGTTCATCCGAACGTTCATTACGCATGGCGAGACTGGACACGGCAGACAGAGGGAGGGGTGGGTTGATGCATGTGTGGTCTGTGGGGGTCATGCTGCTGCCGTTGCTAATGATTATGCAGTTGCTATTGTTACTAAAGGAGATTATGATATTGCCACTGCTGCTGCTAGGGACATCACTGATACTGCTGCTGCTGCTGGTGATGATGATGACACCAAATATTCTGATGAGGATACCGCAGATGAGAATGTTGTTGTTGTTGCTCCTACTGCTGTTGCCGATGATGCCGGCGATGTCACCGATGATGACACCAGTGCTTCTAAAGATGACGATTGATGATTACGAAGATCCTGATGATGATATTCTTGCTGCTGCCCCCGCTGTTGATGCCAATGTTGATGATGCTGATCGTGCTGATGATGCTAAAAATCATGCTTCTACTGATGATAGTTAAGACAAAACAGCTCAAGTTCTTGTTTCAACTACTAACGGTCCTTCTACTGCTGCTGCTGAATACGGGTGGCAGAAGGAAGTTAAGGCTTTGGACACCAGGGAGAATAGAAGAAGAGGTGAGGGTCTGGAAATGAGAAAGGAATCAGAAAGAGATGGGGACAGGCACAGACAGAAAGACACAGCTAGAGACACACACGCACGCAGAGACACAAAACAGCAACTGATACTCTTACGGGGAAACAGACACGGAGATGGACAATAGGCAGAGCGACATAGACAGACATAGACATACAAAAGGACAGACAGGGAATCATAGAAGACAAAGAGAGGGACAGAGAGACGCACGTGCACAGAAACAGACATGGACAGGAGGCACAGATGTCGATGTTGACGGGAGACGCAGTGAGGCCACGGGCGGTGAGGCAGGTCAACTGAAAGCAGCCAAGAGATGGACGGTCGTCTAGGCCGCTCCGCCGAGACGCACGGAACAACACTGCCTCCGTCGCTCGACATCGGACAGACACGGGCAGGAGATGCAGGCGCACAGACGTGGACGGACAGGGTCCATTTGAACTCCAAATAATTTTAGTTTTACCAGGTAAGGCCCACTGAGCTATACAGCTCTTTTTCAGAAGTGACCTGGCCACAAATTATAGCTCAACGAAGTGGCTTATCACGTGGAAATTTATAGCGGCCAAATACTCTTAAAGGTTCTGATTCTAAATGCGGAGGGAAAACCCGGAGAACAATCCACGCGACCACAGGGAGAACACGCAAACTCCATATATACAGCAGGCGTCAGGGTCGGGATCGAACCCACGACCTCCTGTATACAAGGCGAGGTATTGAACATCTCGCCACCGTGGGTCAGTCCGTGGGCAGGTTGGGGGGGCATGGCGAAGCAGGCTGAAAAGAGAGGGAGGCGGCCAAGAGGCGACCGGAAGTCGGCGCAGACACGCGGCGAGTGCCGCCACCACCGCCTCCTCCGTCACTCGGCGTCGGAGGTGTCGGAAAGCTGCCCGTTGGCGCCCGTCACGCGGATGTACTCCACCTGCTGCGGGGCGGAGCCGGCGCCAGAGCGGCCGGGCCACCAGACGCACGACCCCGCGCCCGCGAACAGCGCCTCCATCTCCTCCAGGGTGCGCCCGCGCGTCTCCGGCACGCACGTCGCGATGAACAGCACGCCCAGCAGACCCAGGCCCGTGTACATGAAGAAGACGCCTGCGGGGTCGCGGGGTCATGGGAGGGGGGGCGGTAGGGGGGAGGGAGGTTCAAACGACTGTCAGGATTTGTAGTGACGATTTGGGGGTCACGGTCTGGCCGATTGTCACTATTCACGGTCGATGAAGATTTTGGGTGGTGAACGGCAGTGGTTGTTGTTGTCGCGTGTGCGCAAGTGGGGAGCGTTCCGATTCCCGCTCACGGCCGGCATCAGTGGTGATTATCTGAACTGCTCCTTGGCCTTCCCGAGTGCCAGGCGCAGCGTACAAACCTTAGTTTTGGGGAAACAAAGGCGGCCGGGTGTGGTGCCGTCCACCCCTACCGCCATCGTGTGGCCGTGTCGGCCTTAACAGCCGCCTCGCCAACAGCGCTATCCCCCCGAGCAAGCAGCCCATGACAGGTCACGCTGAGGAGCTCTCGCCATTGTGCAGTGCGCGCGTGCGCACACGTCGCCCACCGTAGTACGTGAGGCTCTGCGCCAGCTGCAGGAAGGTGAGCGACACCGCCAGGTTGCACACCCAGTTGACGGTGGCCGACATGGAGTTGCCCGTGCTGCGCGCCCACAGCGGGTAGATCTCCGAGTTGACGGTCCACGGCGTGGAGCCCATGCCTAGCGCGTTCACACAAAGCGAGCAGCATAGCACCGCGGTTATCCCGCTTACGAGGATGGGTAGCGGCGCTTCGCAAGAGTTCCGAATGGATTTAGAACTCTCTGGGATAATCTCTCGATAAAAGCCCAAAGATCTAAGAAGCTCTTTTTAAAGGGCGATCCAGCCGGCAGACAACATAAAAGCTATCCGCAATTCCACATTTTTAAAACAAACAAACTCCACTACAGCAATTATGCCGTAAAACTACATTTACACTTACATGGAGAACACAACAAATACACGCCTCACGCTCTGTGACATTGCAGAACAAAAAGGCAAAAGAGTCTCACATTGTTTAAGTATGCATAATATTAGTATATTAACATTATTCGACTGTACATACTGTTATTCAGGAACAAAGATCGGGCGCGAACGCTCACCGGGGGCAAAGCACATGAGGTAGAGGATGAGTCCGAGCAGCGCGAGCCACGAGTAGGGCGTGGGGCAGTAGTTGTAGGCCCACGAGAGGCCCGCCCGCTGCGTTGCGTTCGTGCTGCTGCACCTGCAAGGCCGGCGCCGGCGGCCAAGAGGAACGATCGCGTCAACGACCCTCGTCGCCAACTGGCGGCGGCTGTCATCGTTCCGTCCCGGAGCGATCGTGGCGGAGGTGATGATTATAATGATGACGGATGGGCCGTTGAACCCTGACTCGGGTGTGCTGCACGAGCAGTTGTGGCCAGGACCACGCCCCGTCACCTTTGTCTGGTGAGTTCTGATGTTAACAGAACTGCAACGAGTAGTCGTTGAGGCTGAGTCGAACTAGGGGAGGCCCAGAAGTGGTGCAGATAATCGTCGCTGGTTGTTGCCAACTCTCTGCATTTTATCCGCCCAGTGCTACGCTCGTTCCTGTGAGCGTTGCTTCTCTACCCTCCATTGTTGTTGGAGGGCGACTGCCTCTAACTCCCCTGCAGCGTCCTTCACGAATCTCCTCCACAGAGGCTGATCTTGACACTGCTGGTACCAGTCGTCGGCAAGTCCACTCAGCTCCACATCCTTCTGTACCATATCAGCTCCATCTCTTCTCTATCCCTTGCCGCACCCATTTAGCCCCCTGCTTGGCCATGCACTCATTTGCAAACGCGTGCTCACATAAAAAGACAAAGATCCCCGTATAGCCTTAACAGACTGTTGGGTTAAGTGCTGTTAGGGAGCACATATCAAGTCTGGCACGGCACACGAGGGGGTGGATGGCCAACACCACTCCTGACCACCTTTGTCTCCCCAGCGGTGATGTTTACACACTGCACCAGGTACTCATTTGAGGCTGAATCGACCTAGGGGAGGCCAAGGACCGGTTCAGATAATCATCACTGGTGTTGGCCGTGAACGGGAATTGAATATATGGTTTTCCGGGTCTGTAGCGCAGTGCGCTCACCACTGTACTATCGCTCCCCACACACATGGGCACGCACATAGTGACACATGCGCTCACATACATTCGTGCGTGCGAGTTCCCACCTGCCCCAGGTGGCCTGGTCCGTGTTGTCGGGGTCGGCGGGGAGGCAGGAGGAGTTGTCCACGTGCGATCCGTTCATCCCGAAGCAGAAGCCACAGCGGGGGTCCAGCATGCACGTCTCACACACACTGCGCCCAACAGCACACACGGGCACAAAGACAAAGATCCCCTGTACAGCCATAATAGACTCTCGAGGCAAGTGCTGTTAACGAGCACCTATGGAGGCCAGATCAGCACACGAGAGGGAGGGTAGGTGGCCAGCACCACGCCTGACCGCTTTTGTCTCCCCAGTACTGATGTCTAGACACCGCACCATTTTTAATCCAAGTTAGTAGAGAGGCCCAGGTCTGGTTCAAATAATCGACACTATTACTGGTCGGACTCGGGTTTCTGGGTTCATAGCGCAGCGCGCTAACCACTTCCCTACTAGCGGTGAAGTCACCGCCGTGACCGTGCCAGGCCAGGTGCACTTTGAGGCTACGTGAAGTGCCGAAGGTTCGCTGACAGTCACGGGACAGACCCAGGTGCCATGGGTTGACTGAGATGACTGACAGATGCATCACCTGTGCCCCCTACGGTGCCGACTTGCTGCGTTTTAGCCGTACCACTCCCCACAAGCACATACGCAAACGGACACACGTGCGATGCTGTCACCTGTACGCCATGCATGAAGAGTTGGTGACTGCTGGGTCGTGGGGGTGCAGAATCACGGGGGGCGACGTCTGGGACGCAAGGAGGAAGGCGCAGCCCAGGAGGGCGAGGCTCAGCGTGGTGCCTGTGCAACGACAAAGACAAAGATCCCCCGTATAGCCTTAACAGACTGTTGGGGCAAGTGCTGTTAGCGAGCGCCTATGAAGGCCGGAACAGCGGACGAGGGTGTGGATGGCCAGCACCATGCCCGGTCGACTTTGTCTCCTCAGTGGAAATGTCATTTGAGGCCGAGTGGACCTAGAAAAGGCCCAGGACAGGTTCAGGCAATCGTCGCTGGTGTTGGCCGTGAGCGGGAATCCAACTCGGGTGGCCAGGTTCGTAGTGCAGCGCGCTACCCGCTACAGCGACGAACTCCGATTGCTGGTGGCTACACTGCACATGTCCTGTCATGCAGCACTGTGCACGCTGTGGTTGGTGGATCACACACACACACGTCCGTGAAACCTCCTCCCCACCCGTCGTCGTCGAGGTCGCCATCTCCTGGCTTTGCGGGGTATGACGGCGGTACAGCAAGTGGGTTAACGTCAATCTGCAAGAGGATTGAGTGTTACCCCCACCCCTCCCTCCCCCCCCCCCCCGTCCACCAACGCACGTGTGGGTTTTCTCCGAGTACTCCGGATAGTGAAAAATAAACATTAATAGGGGAGGTGGCCAATCAACATTCCAACGTAGGCCGACAGAGCTTGGACAATAGTCCCGCGCTGGTATCTGGCCCACTACCCGCCTCGCCTGCGTCTCCCCGAATGATTCTCCCTCGCCCTCTCTCTCCGAGAGCGAACGAATAAGCGGCGCAAATGAAAACAAAAGTTGCTTTTATTGAACAAAAACGTGAGCCCCGTCACAACCCGTCGCGCAAGTCTGGGAGTCAACAGTCGCGGAGAACCGTCCCGACGCGACGGAGCCGACGCGTCGCAAATTTAACGTCCGATGGGGGGGTTGGGAGGGGGGGGGGAGCCCGTGAGGACAATGGCACCTGCCATGCTGATGAGGCTGAGCTGCCTGCGACCCACGCGCTCCACCAGCCACACGCCCAGCCCCGAGAAGACGAAGTTGGTGAAGGCTGTGGCGGACGCCAGCCAGATGGCGGTGGAATCGTCCGCCACGCCGGCCATCTGCAGGATGGTGGCGCTGTAGTACCTGCTGGGGGCGGGCGGGCAGGCACGGACGTACACGCAGGCACACGCGTGCGCACGTAGACACGCGTACGGACAGATGCGCGCACATACAGGCAGATGCGCGCGCGCACACACGCACGGACACACACACACGCATGGACACAAACACACACAGACACACACACATATAAGTAATTTAGGATTTACACCGAACCCCCCAAACAACCCCGCACCTCCAATTAGCACGGTTGGCTATGTACGGTGCGGAAGAAGTTCAATATGCATACATTCACCTTCGCCGAGATATTCAATGAATCGTCACGATTTGGGGTTGGGATTCGATTCAAAGAGCATGCTATTTTGTCTTGTTCTCACCGTCCCATTTGTACTGTGGCGGGCGGGAGGCAGGTGTGAAACCGCGAGTGCACAGCCACAAAAAGACAAATATCCCCTGTACAGCATTTATAGGCTGTTGGGGCAAGTGCTGTTCGTGAGTAGCACCTATGAAGGACAGAACGGCACACGAGGGGATGGGTGGTCAGCAGCATGCCCGGCCGCCTTTGTCTCCCTAGTGACGATATTTACACATTACACGAGGTACTCATTTAAGGCCGAGTTAACCTAGGGGAGGCACAGGACTGGTTCAGCAACGGTTCAGATAATCGCCCCTGGAGTTGGTGGCCGAGAGCGGGAATCGAACTTGGGTCTCTGTCGGTTTCCTTGCACAACTCGCTAACCCACCTCCAGAGTGCGCATGCTTGCATGCGTGCGTCTACACAGACACGCACATACGTACAGACGATGGAATAAACCATCAACGTTACTTCTCATCTCGTGTTCACCGTCACCTCCGTACGTGCGCACGAGCGCACATCGCCAGCCTGAACCCGCGGCAATTCATCTCGGCTCGTGCGCCAGGGTACGGTGCACGGACACACGCCTCTGGCGGGCACAACGGAAATGACGATAACGCAATTCCTTTACCCATCGAATTCCGTATTGAGTATCGAGGCTGTTTTTTTCCGGAGCGTTCTGCTTCGGAATGTTTGGCCAATTTTGTTGTTGAAAGTTGAATACGGCAGGAAACCGTGGTACCTGGAGAAAACCCCGTGCATGAGAAGGGAGAAATGCTCAAACAACCCCATTTAACTGCATTGTCATCAAACGCAACTGACTGTGGAGTTTTCCAGATCTGTGCGATTCGTAAACCCGTGCCTTCCCAAGCGCAGGATTACAGGCGTGAGCCATCACACGTGCACACATGCATCCATACAAACGCATACATGCATGGACATGGGCGGGCACGCACGCACACCGCATGCAAGCACGCAGACACACGATCGAACACATGCACGCGCGCACGCATGCACAGTCACGCACTTGACCCACAAGAGTTCAATCACGTTGCTGCCATCCTCTCCCGGCGATGAGTTCTAGAATGAAAGAAAGGTGAACCCTGAAAAAAACCAATCAAATGCTGCGTCTGCTGCAAGAGAAGTCACACACGAAAGTAGCATTCTCCCCACAAGAAATCACACGTCTGGCTTCAAACAGCGACTTCAAAGCGGCAGCTATCATGTTACTCTGCATTCATGACATCTCTCCACCTTGCTCCCCACCTGCAGACAGCTGGAATTTAGAATACCTCAGAGCACTTGTCAGGAAGCTATGTGTCTGAAGGGTGAGATCATCTATAGACAGTAAATAAAGACCTTCATCTGTATGTCTCAAAACAGGTTATTTGAACACTTTATTTAGAATTTCCCTGTGAGCTAAGAAGCTCCTGAATCGGGTTTCATCAACAAAACAGAAAAACTGTCACATTAAAAACACGATGCTTGCAACAGGTCGCTTAAAAGTGATAAATAGAATAAATACAGAAATGAAAAAAGTCAAATGTTTTTAAAAATATATTACTTAATTAGAAATTAAATATTTAACTAAACTGACCATTAAGATTAGAGAAACATATTGCAAAAATAGTGCATCTAGAGTGAGGAATAAGATTCGATAAAATATTGCAAAACGAGGAATAGAAACGCCTTTGGAAAAATAGTTTCCTTGTGCAAACGACAAATTCGAAGTAGCACTAGTAACCATGACAATCACCATCATCTACTTGCTTCAGCAGTGGCAGATTGGCAGGAATGCACTTGTTGCTTTAAGATGATTGAGTGAAGGTTGCTGACTGCGAATCAAGTTTTGTGGTGATATTGCTCCAGAGACGAGGGGCGGCCACTGAGAATGCCCGATTACCAAAACCTGTTTTGTACCTAGGAACATTCAACAAAAACAATAATGAGCTCCCTCAGGTTAGGTCTGGCGTCAACAGATCCAACAAATACTCTGCCGAATTGGAACCAAGGACATTTCTAATAAGCAAAGCCTGGTGAATGATTCTGTGATCAAGGAGGGATGTTAGGCCAGTCTCTCTGTATAGGTCACAATGATGAGTTTTATCAAGGGCATCCAGAGCAAATCTAACAGTACTTCCCGACAAGCTAGAAAGCTGAAATATGATACATAGGTAGCTTTTAGGACACAAACAACAGAAAAAAACAGAAATTCCGAGAATTTTCATTTCAAGGCCCCCAAATCTCGATTTTAAGTGCCCCATAAACATGTTTGTGTGCGTCATTCACAAACCGTTCAAAATAAAATGTTGCGTTTTTTTTTTGATAAGAGCATTAAATGGCAAAAAAATTAAAGCGAAAACCATTGGTTCTACAGTATTTTTTATTGTTTGAGATATTTCGGATTCAAGCGGTTTTGAACTAAGAAATACGCATTTTATGATGTTCAAATCTGAATAATTCGAAAACGGTAAAGTTTGTAAGTTAATATATATGTTCTTTCTAATAAAAAAGAACGGAATCTTTAAACTAAGCGGTTTCCAATGGGTACCTCTTTAAATATAACTAAATTTTTTTTTTAGTTTTTAGTGTCTGATTGTAGATAAACATTGTAAAACATCATATCAGGTTAACTATTATATTCATGGAAAACGTATGCCTGCGAAGACAGGCTTTATGAACTAGTTGTATATATGTTGAACTTCTTTCGCACTGCACGTAGCCAACGGTGCTAATCATCCACTGCTGAGATCCGTGGGTAAAAACCCAGGTTTCAGACAAGTGTGATGAAACTAGTTCCTCGAGTAGGGAACTCTATCCCAGACGCGTGTTAATGTAATACTGTTTGAGATCACATTTGGGTTATTACTTCATTTGGCCAAATTCCAGCTCTGTGCATTTAATATTCGAGTTTGAGTAACAATTGACCACAACTCTTTGCAGTCCATTAACAGCTGTGCCTCCAGTGGGGATCAAGAGGTCCACTCAAGTGGAATCAGAAGTAGGTCTGTGAGATCTTTTTCCAGGGCCGCTTTTCTGACACAGGGTGGTGCGCTGCGCTTGCTGGCAGAATGTCCAAATGTACATTCTGCCAATTGCATAATCGGGATGGAATCGACGGAAGAAGAATAATCTGGGAATAACAGTTGCCAAGGTGACCGCAGCAGTGGCGACGCGTCGTGTAGTGGTGCACTGTGAACCTGGCGACCCGAGTTCAATTCCCAGCCACTGTCAACAAAGACCAGTGGCGAGCGACCTTGGAATACTAACCTGGGCCTATCGTTCAACCCAAGCCCACGCTGACCAGTGTGGCAAAATATGATCAAACAACCCAGCTCGCCAACAGGGCATTGGGAGGCCTTGATCCGGCAACAGACTGTCAAGGAGCTGTAAATTAGTAAAATTGTCCGGGCCTATGGGCACGAGTGTCTTTTTGCCACTTGCTCGGCTAATGAACTCCGATTTCAAAGGCAGCTCCTGCCCCATCAAACGAGCCACTTCCCCCACAGCTAAAACATTTATAACTGAACTTTCGTGATCTTTTTCCAAGGTGGCAATAAAATATTAAAGGTTTTTCTTGCATCTGCATGCCACACGGCCGATGTTATGAATAAATTTGGCACCGCGCATGTTTGCGCGTGCGTGTGTGTGTGTGCGCGTGTCCGTCCACCCATGGGCACCTGGCACCCGTAACCTCCTGCAAGCAAGAATTAAATACTTCACGTGGCCTCAGGGTGCACCTAGCCTGGCACAAGTGCCGTGGTGACGGCACCGCCAGTTAGTGAACGGCGGTTGTCGAGGTGTGTGAAAGTATGCGCACGCATTTGTGTGTGTGTGTGCGCATGAGTCGATGTGCATGTGTGCGTGCATGAATTGTTAAGGTAGTCTGTATTTAAAATAAGGGCCAAGGTAGCAACTCTGAAACATTCTTCGATTAGGCCAACATTTCACGGTTATGCATAATTCAAGAGCAAGAAACAATCTCAATCGTGAATTGTATTTTAATAAGAACCATCCTTGTGACTTTATATCTATTTACATAAGAGTGTAATTTAATATGTTCGCGTGTGTGAATGTGGGGAGCGGTAGTGTAGCGGTTAGTGCGCTGTGCTCCGAACCCCGTGACCTGAGTTCGATTCCCGCTCACGGCCAACACCAGCGACGAGTGCCTGAACCGGTCCTGGGCCTTTTCTAGGTCCACTCAGCCTCAAATGACATTTCCACTGGGGAGACAAAGGCGATCGGGCATGGTGCTGGCCACCCACACCCTCGTCCGCCGTTCCGGCCTTCATAGGCGCTCGCTAACAGCACTTGCCCCAACGGTCTGTTAAAGGCTATACTGGGGGATGTTTGTCTTTGAGTGCGATTTAATTTGCCAAAATAGAGGCACAAGCTGGCACAGCCAGGAGCACAGGTGATGCATCTGCCAGTGATCTCAGTCAGTCGACCCATGTATGTACATTGAACTTCTTTGACACCACGCGTAGCCAACCGTTTGTCCTGTGACTTCCTGCTAACTAGTTTTCACACCTCAAAATGGCCTCAAAGCGCACCTAGCCTGGCGCAAGCGCTGTGGTAATGTCACCATCACTTAGTGGTGAATGGAGGCTGTTGTTATTGCACATGTGCATGTATATGTGTCTGTCTTTGTATGTGTGCACGATGCAGTGTACGTGTGTGTGTGTGTGTGCGCACATGCGGCAAATGGTGAGTGAGTTTCAGGACAGGATCACCCCTAGGTCGGATCGGCATTAAATGAATACTCTACATGGCTTATAAACAGCAGCATGGGGAAGACAAAGGTGGCCGGGCACAGTGCCGGGTACACGACCACCCCTCTGGTGAATAGGTGATCGCGAACAGCACTTACCCATGCAATCTCGAAGGCTGAATTGAGGGATCTCTGTCATTATGAGTATACGTTCACAGTATATATTTTAACTGACACATAAATGTTATAATGTCTGCAAGGACCGTGACGGATAATCATTATCTGTCATTCGTAATGTCCGCTGGCCTCGCCGAGCGACGGCTCACGTGCGTGAATGTGCGTGTGTCTGTGCGTGTGTCTGTGCGTGTGTCTGTGCGTGTGTCTGTGCGTGTGTCTGTGCGTGTGTCTGTGCGTGTGTCTGTGCGTGTGTCTGTGCGTGTGTCTGTGCGTGTGTCTGTGCGTGTGTCTGTGCGTGTGTCTGTGCGTGTGTCTGTGCGTGTGTCTGTGCGTGTGTCTGTGCGTGTGTCTGTGCGTGTGTCTGTGCGTGTGTCTGTGCGTGTGTCTGTGCGTGTGTCTGTGCGTGTGTCCGTATGTAGAACCTCTGGTCGCACCGTACGTACCCAAGCCGTGAGATTCAGAGATGCCGTCATGGCTGAAGGGTGAGCGGTGGCGCAGTGATTAGCACAGTGCGCTGCGACTTAAAGATTCCCAGCAGCGGTGGCGAACATCTCAACTAATGCTGGGTCTCTGCGAGTTCGACCTCAGCCTCCAATGGGTACCAGGCGCAGCGTTTAAACACCAGCACTGGCGAGACAAAGGTGGCAAGCGTGCGGTGCCGACTACCCCCACCTCATTGGTGCGCTGTACTGGCCTTCATAGGTGCTCGCTAACAGCACTTGCCCCAACAGTCTGTTAAGGCTATACGGGAGATATTTGTCTTTGTCTTTGTGTGTGTGTGTGGGGGGTGGTGGCACAGCAGTTAGCGCACTGCGCTACAAACCCGGTGACCCGAAGTGGATTCCCACTCGCAATCAATAACGGTGCCGAATATTTGAACCGGTTCTGGGCCTCTGTCCGGTCGACTCAGCCTCAAATGAGTACCTGGCGTGGTGCTGGCCACCTACGCCCTTGTGCGCCGTGCCAGCCTAACAGCACTTGCTCCAACAGTCCATTAAGACTATACGGGGGGCAATCTTTGTCTTTGCGTGCACGTGTTGGTGCGTACGTACATCACTGTGTTGATGCCGGCTAGCTGCTGGAACATCTGCAAACCGCAGCCAACGACGAGTGCTCGTCGCGTAGGAGGGTGCTTTATCATCTTCCACAGCACCCAGCCTTCGAGCGCACGCACACACACGGAGCACGGGGCACATGGAGAGGCGAGGTCAAGCCGATGAATGGGCAGGTCTGGCTATGAATAGCTCCGCCTGTGCAAATGCCCCGGAGCGCGTCCCATCTCGTCAGATCTCAGCGGCAGCTAAGCAAGGGTCGGAGTCTGGACGGGCGACCGCCGTGTGTTCGAAAGCAGGCGGTCCGGCCTGCTGCAGCAAAGTCGAGATTTGAAGCTTTCGTGACTGCAATGATTCATACTCTTGTTTTTTTCGGTAAAGTCACGTAGGAAAAAATTCTAATAAAATAAAATAATAAATGAAAAAATAACTCAATTAAATCACGACGTTTCAGAGGCAACACAAGTCTCCGTCTTCAGATGGGACCGTCACAGCAAATTTTTTTTTACGTGACTTTCTCGAAAAAACCTAAGAGTATGCTGCAGCAAAGTCGAGCACATGGACATCTCCTAACTTCAACACACGCCTTGTAGCAGTGAGTCTTTGAGCTGCAGTGAAACAATGGTCATGCCGATTAGATGTACTGGTGTCTGATATGTCTGTTGTTTACACTTTCAACAAATTAAAAACAAAAAATCCCCTGTACTACGCTCCCCGGCATTCATCGAGCACAGCGCCGACCAGCGGGACGAAGTAAGGCCCCTCATCAAGCAGTGGATTGGCAGAAGGGGCCGTAACGCGTACGAGATTGTTCAGAGCTCTAGACAAAGTGCCGTAAGTCAAGGTCAAGAGGTCACCACGCCCCGAGCCGTGTGAGGTCACCACGCCCCGAGCCGTGTGAGGTCGCCACGCCCCGTCGTCGCTTGTTTTCTTCCGTTAGGTGCCAACGCTGTGACGCAGTCGACTACTTGACTTCCCAGGCTCTGCTGATTATTATTCTTATTACCCATCTTAGATTTCTCTCCTTCATTAATTCATGAATCAATGATGGAGAGATCAAGTAAAACAAATTCTGTTTATCCAGATGAGCTCAAGACACCAAGAAAGTCTCATTTGCAAGTGTGACCTGAATAGATTAATGAATGAGTGAATTGTTGAATATGAGAATTATTACATTTTTGTTTAACGAAAATGTATATTAATCAGCATATTGATTAATAGATGAGTGAATAGATGCACAGACAAATTAATGAGTGAAATTATTTATGAACATGTCAAAAGACGAATGAGTGAGCAGATGAGTGAATACATGATCGAATGAGTTAACAAACTGGGAGATCCTCGCCTCACCTTTTCGCGAGTGGGGCTGGTGCGACGTCGCGTCTCCCTCCCTGCTGCCATCGTCCTCCTCCTCAGCGGTGATGCTCGCCTGGATCATCATCGTCGTCATCATGATCATCGTCGTCATCATCGTCGTCATCATCGTCGTCATCGTCGTCATCATCGTCGTCATCATCGTCATCATCGTCGTCGTCGTCGTCATCGTCGTCATCATGATCGTCATCATGATCGTCATCATCGTCGTCATCATCTTCGTCATCATCGTCGTCATCATGATCGCCGTCATCGCAGTCGTCATCATGATTGCCGTCATCGCAGTCATCATCATCGTTGTCATCATAACCACAGTTACTGCGCTCGTGACAACGCTCCTGGGAGCATAATGTCACACGGCTTTACTCGGAGGATCGTTCCGATGCAACTCCGATTCCTTGTAGATTTCTTTTGGTTCTGCCGTGAAGTGATCTGGCCAATTTTTTTAATCAAATAACACTCCACCACCCGATAGCCAAAACAACTAACATCACCGTCACGTGTACAAGCGATTGATGCACCACTTGTATAAACAATCGTCATTCACTAACTGAAAACATATTCATATATAGAGGATTGCAGAGCTTGGGCAATTGTTGGTGATGCCGGCTCACTGCCTGGTAGCTGCCTTCCAGTTTGTCTGTTGGGTCGTCGGCGATTGTGAGATCAAATTATGCATGAATGATGACGTGATATAACATTATTAAAATGACTATAATTAATTGTTTCAACTCACCGCAAAGCTGAAGATAAATTTACAGGGGCTCATCTAGTTATGAACATTCCACTTAGCAACTTTCAGAGATATGAACGAACCTGTCCGTATGTCCAGTTGCCTGTTCAGACCAAGTTTTTCAAGAGAGTAGAGAGGAAACTAGGAGCACCAGAGAATTAGCATCTACATCTGCAGAACATAAAGAACCAGTGGAATCTACATCTACAGGTGATTATACAACTTTTAAAGCCATTCCCCGTGTTTAGTGAACATGCCGTAAAACACGTTTGGAATCGACAAGAGTAACATCGACTTACGAACAGACCTCTGGAAGTTTAATAAGTTGGCTTTCGCGACCAATATTATCCATAAGAGGTTATACCCCCCCCCCCCCCGGTAGTGGGTTTAACGACACATTTATATTCACATGATCTAACCCAAAAAAACCTCTATTATGGATAATATTGGTCACGAAAGCCCACGTGTGGGTTAGATCGCGGAAATATAAATGTGTTGTTAAAGCCGCCGAGTAACCCTAAAAAACTTATATTTTGGAGAACTCTGGAAAATAACTCGTTCATAAGTAGAGGAGTCCCTATATTGTCATATTGCTCTAAGATTAGTGGTCATCTTGGTGGAGCCGCCCCACTCACCACCACCACCCAAACCAGCCCAACCCCGTGTCTGGGGGAAGAGGCGGGACCTATTCAGAGAGAGGCGGGGCATGAAGGAGGAGGGGCGGGTCCTCAAAAGGAAAGGTGCGGGGCTGAAAGAGGAAGTAAAGATGAGACCCGATCACATGATCAGGAAGGGGTGGAGCCTAAGGAGGAAAGGGGGGTGGGGGTGGCATAAAGAGGAAGGGCACAGGGGCCTATGGAGGTTGAAATTGTTCATTGCAGGTAATAAAAGCGTAGAATTAATCTGTTCCACGAAAACTACTGTTCACCAAAATAACTGTTAATCGAATATGGGAATTACACGTTATAAAAGCATTAATTCGTTACAACATAAACGTTACCTTTCATTCTAGATTTGAAGCTTTCGTGACTGCAAGGATTCATACTCTTAGGTTTTTTCGGTAAAGTCACGTAGGTAAAAAAGAAATAATAAAAATAAATAATAGAAATAATAATAGAAATAAAATTATAAATCATGACGTTTCGGAGGCAACACAAGTCTCCGTCATCAGTAAATCTAGCTGTGACGGTCCCACCTGATGACGGAAGACTTGTTTCTATTATTTTTATTTATTTATTTTTTTACCTACATGACTTTACCGAAAAAACCTAAGAGTATGTTACCTTTCATCAACGTCAATTGAAACCATGGGGGTCCTCTATGGGAGGCAAAGCGGTAACAGAAAAGCCGTTAACTGATGTCACCGTTAAACGGAGGGGGGGAGGGGGGGGGGGAGGTTGCGCTTTACCGCACAACAGTTACCCGGAGGAGCCAGCGGGGCCGCAACCGACCTGGATGCGGTCGAACTCCTCGTCGATGTTCTGCGTGCCGCGCATGCGGCAGAGGACGCGGCGCGCGTGCTGCGTGTGGCCGCTGCGCGCCAGCCAGCGGGGCGACTCGGGCAGGAAGAGGAATCCCACAAACTGGACGACGGCCGGCACGCCCGCCAAGCCCAGCATGTACCTGCCGGCGGCAGGGGTGGGGTGGGGGGCACGAGCGAAATTTTTAAAGGGGATAAAGGTCTTCCCGTCTCTACCCCCCCCCTCCGCCAAAATCACCCGCACGGTGATAGAAATTGTAGCGGCACTTTCAAGGGGAGGGAGCGAAGGCTGCGGCGAGGATACCGTGCAGGAGGAATGTCGGCGCCACATTGCACACGAGCACACAACGTAATACTCTTACCTCGCAGAAAACATGCCTTGCTAACACTAAACACACCAATGCACGACACGTAACAAATGTGCCCACGGCTCATATCCACGAGCGACACGGCATAGGGAGGCCTTCTTCCAGCAGCGAATTCACAAAGGGCCGCACGATATTATTATTAATATTACCCTTGAATAGGGCTACGATTTAGGTCAGGGTAATTTTTGTGTGAAATACAGTCGACAGCCGAGCTGCGAAAAAACAAACAATAATTCGAGCAAGGTCAAGGAATACCAATGTGGTGGTGACCGTTGTGAGTTATTGTTTTAAATATAAGCAATGTAAACTATGACAACGATTATTCATGGCATGCACGGATGAAAGTTAAATACTCCCTGTGCTCAACAGCAGCGCCAGGGGCACGGTGCCAACAAAACCCGAAATGGAAACGCGGAGCGGCAAATAGCGGTGGCAATTTTTTTGTTCCAATCAATCGGCGCCTGGACATTTTTTTCCCTTCCTGCCGGCGAGAAAATCACTCGCCGCTTTGAGACGGACAATCGCCATCGCTAAACCCTAACAGCCACCCCCACGGGACACCACCACCACCACCACCCACCACCACATCTGATGTATGTTTTTCCCCCCCCACCCCTCCGTCTTCCTTCTCCCCGTGTCATTTATCAGTTTGTGGCAGGCATGGACAGGTGGTATTAGGCACCGGTTGGGAGGATGTATTGGGGGGGGGGCGGCAGTGGGAGAGCGAGCGAGCAAGGGGGGATGTAATTGGAAGGTTTGGTGGCAGAGACGTTCCAGGGCAGGCAAGGCGGGGGGGCGGGGGGGCGGGGGGGCGGGGGCAAAGAGCAAGCACGAGAGGAGGAGGCTGCCTGCCGAAAATTCTCGCCGACAGCCAATTACGGCGCGACCCCTCGCGAATTCGGTTCGTGACCTCTCACCTCAAATCCGCCCACCTAATCCTGTCCCCGTCCACCCCGCCGACAATGACACCAGACGCAATATGGTGCAGCGGTGATACGGTTTTTGCCCCAAGGAGACGGAATAGAATGGTTGTTGTGTATGTGTACGAGACCTGGCCGATGCCTGCAGGTCATTCGTATTCTATTCCCACCATACGACCCCCTTGGATCATTCAGAACCAGAATATTTATACTGGAGGAATGCAATGAGCTCTTTTTCACAGATGTCCAGCTGCGGTAGGTCAGAACGTTACAACAAACGATGAAAAAACGGGACACGAATGCAAAGCAGAGGAAAGGTAAAATAAATGACTTAAAAATATATATAAATAAAACTCAACAATTTTTTATCTTTACAGGTAAGGCCCACTGAGCTATTAACTTGTAGATAATATCTAACATCTAGACACACTTGTCATGCAGGAACCACGGCCCTTCTCTCTAAGGGGCGACTCCCGTGTTAAAATATCGAATCCGTTGCCCGGAGACTCAGGCAGGGATTCTGTCACGTGCGAGAATTTGTGCAAGAGAATTAATGAGATTCTATTCAGATTCTATTGAGATTCTATTGAGATTCTATTGAGATTCTATCGCGAACGCGGCTCAGCAGAGCTTGGGCGAGTTGAGACATCGTGAAAAGTGCCTAAATAAAAGCAAGTAATTTTGTTTTTATTGCGATTCGTTTATAGTTGGTTGCATCCAGCCACCTCCGATTAGCACGAGTGTCTATGTACGATGCGAAAGAAGTTCAACGCACATACAACATGGTGACGATTCAGGCCAATGTAGCATCACCAATGAAATGCATTGCCGATGGCTAGCCCACAGAATCGGACCGATTCCTATCCCGATTGCAGCGTGGTGTCATTCAGGCGAGAAGCGAGGAACGATGGGGCCCGGTCTGCGTCGTGGAATCACCATAGAAAAGTGTGGCTGGTTGGAATCAAGACTCAATACCAGCGTCAATTCCACAGGCCCTCCTCTTTCTTGATTGGACGTTTCGACGATTCTGCCAATTCTACCATTCCGCTACGAGCCAAGAGACCCGAGTTCGATTCCCTGTAACAGTCAACGTCTGTGGCAAATATCTGAACTGGTGCTGGGCCTCCCCTGGGTCAACTCGGCCTCAAACGAGTGCCTGCTGCATTGTGTGAACTGGAGCCCTGAGGGGACAAAGGCGGCCGGGCGTGGTCATGGCCACACCACCCCCTTGTGTAACACGTCAGCCTTAATAGGTCGCTCGCTAACAGCACTCGAAAGACAACGCGCGGCGTCAGGCATATTTCTGCGTTGTTCAACCTTCAATTCGTTTTCTCGCCGCAAGCGAGCGACCCTCGACTCTGGAAGGCAGATGCAACGAGGCCGAGTGGCGGCCTGAATGGGTGCTTGCCAACAACACTCGCCTTTGTTGTCCTTCCCCCGCAACCTCCGATTGGCCGCGGTTCGTGACATATGATGCGTGTGAAAGAAGTTCAACGTACATACAATACGTACGGACAGCCTTTGGGGCTCAAAGGATAACACACTCGTGACGTGTGTCAGAATGGCGCGTATCAGAATGCGCGTACGCGCGCATCAGTGAGCATGCATTTCAAGTCGGGCGCGGTAGTGTAGCGATTAAGCGCGTGGCCCTATGAACCCGCCGACCCCAATACAATTCTCGCTCACAGCTAACGCCAGCGACGGCTATCTCGACCGCTCCTAAGCCTTGACCCAGCCTCAGATGAGTACCTGGTGCGGTGGGTGTGTAGTAAACATCAAGGTGGCTGGGTGTGGTGCTGGCCGCCCATCCCTTTGTGTGCCGTGCCGGCCTTCATAGGTGCTCGCTAAAAGCACTTGCCTCAACTGTCTGTTAAGTCTATACGGGGGATCTTTGTCTTTGTCATTGGTGAGTGGTGGCGCAGTGGTTAGCGCACTGCGCTGCGCATCTGAGTAAGAGAGCACCTTCATACGTGCTCGCGAACAGCAATTGCCCCAATTGTCTGTTTCGGTCAGTGGTTCTTAATCTGGGGTGCATCACGCATCTTCTGGGAGGTGCGAGATGCCCTTTCTGGGGGTGCGAGACACGGCCCGATTTTTGTTCTAAGGTAAATCATGGAAAACTCAAATTAAGCACGGGCACGTAAGTGCAACTGCTTTGTTTAATCAAACCCCGTGTGTTAATTAAGTGTAAAAAATGATTTACGATTTGAGAACCAAAGGGGTGCAAGGCTGCAGTAAAGATGAAGAAGCACTGGTGATGGCTCTACGGGGGATCTTTGACTTTGTGCGTTTCAAACCTTCGTCAACTTGCATAGTAATAGCTGAAAAGTTACGTAACCGACACCGGCCAGGATGGATTTTAGCAGGGGTGCTCATTTTCCCCCTAATGTAGTCTGCATTAGCAATTCAAGTGTTATAACAACAAAACAAAAAAACACATGGCCTGGGAGGATAACGCTACGGATTTGGCGAGTGGAGTCGGAGTCCGATGACGCACTCGCAGTGACGCTCCCAGACGAGCGGTGAATGAATTCGACTTTTTAGTATTCGGAGATGGACGGCTCAGAAAAGCAAATTAGTGGATTTTTGTTTTATTTTTTTGCATGCTCAAGCGATTTAGCAAATGGTGCGGAACCTGTCAACTTCGCTACGCTAAGAGAACCCCGGTTAAACTATGGGCGGCCGAAAACTGGACTTGAACCGCGATGGAGCCTCTCTTTCTCTACAGGATGGTTTGGCTGACTCTCACACGCCAAGTAGACGTCGTGGACGAGGTGGGAGTCCCCAAATGAGTAGCGGTGATGTTTACACATTGCACCAGGTACTCATTTGAGGCTGAGTCGACCTAGGGGAGGCCCAGGGCCGGTTCAGATAATCGTCACTGGTGTTCGCCGTGAGCGGGAATCGAACCCGGGTCGCCAGGTTCGTAGCGCAGCACGCTAACCGCTACACTACCGCTACCCACACACGCACGCGCACACATACGCGTGCGCGCACACTCCACTCAGAGCTGAGATGTTTCAAAGCGGAAAAAAATACCCCCACCTTTAATGTGCGGCCCGTACTTAACGAGAGATCCCCGTGCCAGATTGCAATGCTACACGTTAGGGGGCTTCAATTACTCACATTGATCTTCCCGGCGGACGTAATTAACAGGTCGTCTCCCAAATCACGGCCAGAAGCCGACAGTGTGCACTCTCTTGCAGCAGAGGTTAAGAGCGGAGAAATAAATGAAAAGGAGACATCCCAAAGACTCTTCTTGCCGGAGCCATCCTCGCCACGATCCTCATTCTCCCCGTCGTGTCGGCACTCCCCCGGCAGACATCGGCGATGCGATCGCCGCGGCACGGTTACCGTCGCACGGCCCCGTCAGACGGAGGCCGGAGGAACAGAGTCATCAGAATCAGAATCTTGATTTCGACTGCAGGAGGAATCAGCTGAGCTATAAAGCTCTTCTTCACAGGTGTCCAGTCATGGGTGGGTCAGCAGCCCATGCTGGCCCTGCAGCGTACAAGCGTATTGACAATAGAGCCTGCATGCGGTGTGAGGGGACTGGTGGCCACGGGAGGTAATGACAGGGGAGTCAGTTGTGAGTGTGAAGGGACTGGTGGCCACGGGGGGTAATGACAGGGGTATCAGTTGTGAGTGTGAAGGGACTTGTGGCTACAGGATGTAATGACAGGGGAGTGAGCTGTGTGTGTGAAGGGACTGGTGGCTACGGGAATGATGGAGAAGGGAGCGTGGTCAGGCAATGGTGGAGTCTGCCGGTGGAGCGAGCATCCAGAGTCAGCGAGAATGATGGAGAAGGGAGGCGTGGCCTCGTGTCGGTATGTAAGGGGGAGATGCGCGGGAGAC